TGGCTCCAATCACTTTGGCATATTTTTTTTCTGAAAATTTGGACAATTTCCAATAAAAAAGTTGCTGGGCACTTTTACTTTTGAATCATTCTACCTTGATCCAGGAATTATTTGAATATTTGTGATTTTTCATGAATTTCAAAAAAAACCCTAAAATGGCCAACTTCGGGCCCCTGAAAAAGAGTGATAGATGGTCCCAAAAATTCTAATAAAATTTGGGGACATTTCTGACATCGGGAACAGCAAGTTTTTCATATTTGCAGAAAAAAAAATTTTTTGGCCATTCGATTTCACAGAGAATCGGCCATATATAGTAAGATATATATTGTATAAATTGTGCAGTCAACAACTTTAAACTGTCTCATCTTTTCTGTTGGGTATGCCAAAGATTTATACGCAGTCATTCGTAGTACATATAGAAGCTCGATTTATTGTTTTTATTATATTGATTGGAGGATCTATAATAATAGAAAATTTAATTAAAATTTTTTTTTTCTAAACAGATATTTAAAATCTTAGACCAACCAAATTGCACCCAATCAAAATGACGCAAGCGCCGTTTTGTCTCTTCGGCCTGGCGCTCTTTTCGAAGAATTTAAATCATTGGCTGCTCTGTTCTAATTTGTTGTTCATCGATGGTTTGCTGTTCGCTCGCTTGTTGTTTGCTCATCAACTCGACTTCGTATGGCAAAAGGTATTTATTATTGTAAGGAATTGTTTTTCGATGATGATATTTATCTTTGTGCATTTTTCTTACAGTTAAAAATTTACCTAAAAGTCAATTCAAACATGCCTGCCGTTGCAACTACATCCGATGATGATATTGTACTTGTCCGAAAGAAACATCCTGAAATTTTTGAAAACAATCAGCTGATCAAGGAAAAGAATGCAAAATGGAAGCCCATTAAACAGAAGCTGCCAAATATTTCTCTACACAACCTATATATTAGGATACAACAAAATAGATCTTGTAACAAATGCAATGCTCAAGGTATTCAAGATAGGCTAAAGAAGATTTTTTCTCATCACTCTGAGATATCAAGTTTCTGGCCAACCATAGGTGTTACAAAAACTGTTCAAGATACCTGTAAAAGCAACGAAAACAATGAAGAAATAATCAAAGAACAAATTCCTAATCAATCATACACTTATGTTGATGAATTTGATACTATTCATAAAATGAAATATGATGTTAATTACAGTAATATTATCAATTCAATTTCGTGCAACAAATTAGAAATTATTTATTTTTCAAAAGAGCAGCTTGACCTGTTGAAGGATGTTATTAATTGTGAATTGCCAAAATCAGTTATTGTACTAAGTAGTATTATTGATAAAACAAAAATGAGAAGTCACATCAGTGAACCAGTTTCATATCTATCATTATCTTGTTGAATGGAAAACCAAGTAATATCTTTAGTTCAAGGCCTTTCAGAATTTATAGATAAATCATTTGTTTATAATTTTATTTTGCGCATTTTGAAAACAAGAATACCATTACCTTAAAATTTGACAATAATTTATGATCAGAGAATCATGGATGGCATTTGTACAGCAGTTAATCAGTGCACTTTTGAGGAGTACATTTCAAAATGTTATAACAATATTGAAGTTTCAGTTAATTTACATATAGATATTGTAAGTTTATTAATAGCTATTAGTAATCTGGAGCACTTTCATTTGAAACCTAAACTTGTCAAGAATTTTTATATCAAATGTGTCATTCAATTAAGTTTATGTTCGAATCGTGAAGATTTTGATAGCATGGTTAAAGATATATTTATCCTGGTAGCAAAATCTTTTTGAATCTGATGCAAATCTGACGCAAAGTATCAGAATGTAAGAAAATTTCAGCAGAAATGAACCCGTTAATTTCTGCAGACAATGCAATTTCTGCTTAATATTGAAACAGTAATAATCGTGCAGCAGAATTGTATAAGCTTTATCGTGATAATTTTGGCAAGTACTTTCTGAATCTTTTGGTAATTCTCTCTGAACAATAATTGATCTAAAATTGCACAAAATGAATTCCAATTGCATACTACAAAATTATTGCAAAAGAATTAAAAAATTTAAATCACTTTGTGACAAATAGCATTTTCTATAATTTAAATTGAAATTGTGTCATTGTTAAAATGGACTTTATTAAATGAATAATCAGAATCCTCTTGCACAGTGATTGCATAAGACTTTCACACATATCACTAGTAGAAATGACCTGTAGGATGCCTTCAGGAAAACGCAAAATTATCGGCATACTCCTGTAAAAACTTTGCAATTTTTATTCGTGCGATGACTTCAAAAATTATAACTTTTCAAAAAAATCTGGAATCAGAATTTTGGACAAATTGAAAAAAAATGCTACATTACATTACTTAGATGTTATATAGAAATTTTTTATATTTACAATTGTCCGAGGAACTCAAATATATTTTTTATGAAAAAAAAAACATTTATGAATGTTTAAAAAACTTTTTGTTTAAAAAAAAAAAATATGACGTTTACATAAATGTATATTCGAGTAAATCTCGTGAGATTTTAATATTTTACCATGTAAAAATAATTTTTTTTTAAGGTACGCTTTTGTAATTTTTTTTAAGAATTGCTAGTAATTAAAAATCTTGAAAAAAATATTGCCCGTCAAGTTCGGGTGAAGATATATAAAATGTCAGCGTAGGCGTCATTACGAGTACAACATGTGAACAGTGAAACTGACTATACAGGAGAGTGCGCGATTACGAGAAATACAGAGACCTGTACTTCATCATTACGTGAAAACAGTCCGATGCTTGTATGCAAGATGTAACGGGGATGAGGCGAGTACGCACACATCAGCATTTCGAGTCTACTAGCGTATTGATGCGTCGCTGATATTCAATATAAAGTACATATAACGTATACAAAGAATACGTTACACCACATATACTGCGTGAGCGCGAGCACAACCCGAATTTGCACGCACTCGTCCGCACGCAGAAGCACGTGTATGGCGGCGCTCTATATAGCCAGTAGTGATGTGTGTTTACAGCAATAGTCGACAGGTCCTATCGAGTCGCGTGCGCAACTGCCGGCAGTAGCGGCAATTTGACAACGCTGAACGCAGTTTCTTGCTAGACGTGCTCGTTCTAACACTCGAATTTTCGATCGTCGACCGCAGTTTATTTCGTTTTTTTGTAGTTTTTGCCCTTGTTTTTTTTCTTTCATCGCAATTAGTTGATTAATTAGTCGCGAGTGCACCTCATCCACTTAAAGAGGAAGGTATACTTCAGCTAGTGATTTCGGCAATGAGGTAAGTGTGCCATTTTTATGACTCTTTCTCTGTTCTCTCTGTTCGCGCTCTTCTCGTGCTCGCTAGTTTCCTACTGCTTGAAATATAATACATATACCTATATTAAAAATAAATGCACATAGCACGGCTATCTTTAGTCTTCATGCAGCCAAAAAATGTTCTTATCTGTGCAGTGACTCGTTTCGCAGATCGACATTCCGTGAAGTCGCGATTCGTCGTGTGCCGTGCGTGTGTAAATACAATACGGAGATTCGCTTTTGTTTTTCCTTCGAGCCCATACAGCAACCGCTCTTTGATTATTTTATGAATTCCAGACATATATTGCAACCTACGAGCACTTTTCTCATGGGTTAATTCATTTTCACAAATGCTCACAAATGCTCTCGTGCGATGAACAATGAACAGTTCTCGAAGTCTCTCCCTCGTTCTTGCTCTCTCTCTCTCTCTCTCTCTCTTTTTGTTATGCATATATGTGCATATATACTGCAACGAGCATGCAAATTTTCACATTATGTTATTACGCCGTCGGTTTGCTTTCGTTTAGGTGCGAATAAACGTTTTTACGCTCTCGCTCTGTGTTACCCGTTCTGCGAAATTCAGTTTCGTGTATTATAGAGAGTATACCGAATCTGCGCGATGCGCTGGATCTCATATATCGGGTTAACGTGAGTGTATACAACATTTTTCGAGTAGCTTTTTCGAAGACTCTCGTTGCCTAGATTTTCCGAGTAACGCAACCAACTTCTTTATTTCTTCCATCCTCATTGTAAATCAATCATCCTCGAGGAAGCGAATTTTCCTTTTTTTTTTAAAGATTCGCCAGGGCGTACATACACACGCATGTAAGCATAATAATTTACTGCCTATCAGGAGTCTGAAAATTATATTCTATAATATTCGAATTTTGGCATTTCTTTTTCGTTATTATCGGTAAAGTGAATTTCAGCTTTATTCTTTAATTGAGGTTTAATTATGAATTTCGAAATTATTTTGAAAAAATGTACCTTTTTCGTCTACAGACGCAAAGCTAATGAAAAAATTGAATATAAATAATACTACTTTCAAATACACTTAATTAAAATTGTAATTTTTACAATGAAAAAGTTAATAACAAAGAAGCAATGCCGCAAATCAATGGCCTTGTTCCAGAACTTCTAAAATGTTTCTCGCGAGCAGGAAACAGGTGAGGCTGTGGAATTGCTATAAAACCGAACGGTACGTCTGACGTGATATTCAATAGAACAGTGAACGATTCAGATCTGCTAACATGCATCGTGCAAAGCACTGTAGTCATATTTTTTAAGTCGAGGGTTTTAAAAAATGTTTATAACTTTTGAATAATTCTTGTCAAGTATTGCACATTTTTCGGTTTCATTAATCAGTTGTAGGGCTCAAACGGAACTTGATTTCATATGAATATTATTTATGGTCCATCAGTCTGTAGGGGTGAGGACATTTTTTTTGGAAAAATAGGCACAATATTGTTATTTCCTATACCATCTGAAAGTATTCGATGCCGTCTGACACTCTCAATTAAATGAAAAAATTTTACAAAGGACTTTTAGTGAATAGCTTTTAATTAGTTTCAGCTATTTTTTGCAAAATTTCAGACAACCGATTAGTTAATCTAATTCTATTTATTCATATAATTTGTTACTAATTTTTTGGTCATTTTTATAGATAAATTCTTTATTCTTGTACCTATAAGTAGACTTTGAAATAGTAACAACATATCACAACTGTATCAGTGGAACGCAGAATACAGTTCGACCAACAGTCATATAAAAATGAAATACTGATTATAATTAATAATTTTGGCCATCCTAAATATATTATTTCGTTACCTAAATATATTATCCTAAATATATTATTCCACGTTCCACAGTTACGCTATCACTCCCAGTCGTGAGTGCGCTAAGCGCAAAAACTCAGTCAATCTACCCCATCCGAGAGTCAGTTGAATAGTCCCAGGCACAACTACAATAGTTTAATTTTATTTTGAGTAGCATAGAGTTACGAGTACTTTCAAATGGTATAAGAAACAAGACTATTGTGAATGTTAGTCCGAAAATAAAGTTCATCTGTTCTCTATAGTCAAATTTAACAAAAATAAAAATTATATGAATTGCATAAGCCCCTACCAGAAAACCATTATTTATATACATAAATTATATATGTANTCTCTCTCTCTCTCTCTCTCTCTCTCTCTCTCTCTCTCTCTCTCTCTCTCAACTCGGCTCTTGCTTACTCACTCGATAAAAAGCCCGCTCGTGTAGTTGACTCAGTTCCACGCGCGGTGTGTGTATCTCGACAGCGTCGTGCCCGATATATACTTAATAGGAAGCTGCTGCACCTGTCCTCGAGGATAGCCAACTACTATATAGGTATAACGCGCACAGTCGATCGACCCTCGCGGAAGAAGAGCAACAGCAGCCCCGCGTGCAGTCGTATCACGTATAATATATAGTACTGCAGTCTCGCCCCACGCGTCGATGAGATCGCGAGTCTGTGTATCATTGACAATTTTCGAGGTTTTTTTTTCATAATATACATCCGTGACTTGTGTGTGCGCGTGTGTGTGTCGCTGCTTACGCACAAGTCACAACGCAGTGTTTACTCCCACGAAGAAAGAGGTCTGAATTCAACTCCGCAGGCCGCCGCTGTCGTTGTCGCCGCCGCCGTTGCCGGAGCTGTGCGAGTGTTAAAGTACCGCAGCAGTACTCGACTCTCCGCGAAAATTTTGATACATACACAAAGTTACAGCCATGATTCTGCTGGAGATAAACAACAGGATAATCGAGGAGATTCTGACCAACAAAATCAAAAATGCCTTGGCTGGGTGAGTCACGGAGTTCAATGTGATACCAAAATGCGTTAACATACGTTCGTGCCGTGCACTTTTAGCTCCGAACGGCTGATAGCAGCTTGTTTGTGTGTGTGTGTGTGTGTGTGTGTGTGTGCATGTGCATGTGCATGTACCTGACTGTCGTTCGCTGTACGGGGCGGTGTCTAACCTATTTGCTGCCTCGTTCTTTATTCGTTTTTTAATGTCTTTTTGACACTTGTGTACAGTCATTGCTCGTATTTTTAGATTTTTCCATTCGGTAATGAACCTCATTCCTGATCGATGATTCATCAACACGATGAAACTTGCACTCACAGTAGCTCAGAGAGTATAAACATTGTATTGAACTTGACACAACTTGAAGCTGCTTTATTTACTAATTGTCGCACTACTGTACACAATATTTACTCAATCATTTTAGTAAAAAATGTTTTTTAATTGCAACAATGTAACTTGATAACTATTATTGCCTTCTAAAATGCATGACCATTTGCAGAACTAAACTTGAATCCACGGATGTTATGATAGCAGATTTTGATGGAGTCTTATTTCACATTTCAAACTTGAGTAAAGACAAATACAAAATTAGAGTAAGTAATTATACTCAACAAGTTTTCGAACCAATAGCTATTAATTGAATTTTTATTAGATAAGTGCATTGCTCAAATTTTACAAGCAATTGCAAGAACATGGTGCTGATGATTTGCTTAAAAGAGAGTATGGCTCTTATCTGGTTGAGCCAGAACAAGGTAAAATACAGATATTATTGTATTTATCTATTGAAAAGTATTATATAACTTCAATTTGTTATTTTTTATTTTTTAGGATACAGTGTGACAGTAATGATTGATTTAGAAAATTTACCAGAAGATTGGGAAGGCTTAGTAAAGAAAATAGGATTGTTAAAGAGGCATTGTTTTGCAAGTATATTTGAAAAATATTTTGATGCTCAAGAAAAAATCAGTGAAAATCCAGAAGATGAAAACAATATTCAAACTAAAGCTATTATTGAGTACAGAGATCAAGAGATTATGTACGTTTGCATATTTATTCTTCGTGTTAGATATTTTTTTACTAATGAGCCTTAATGACTGAAAAATGTTTGATTATTTTAGATATGTGGAAGCTAAAAGCGATCGTGTCACAGTGGTGTTTAGTACAATATTTAAAGATGTCGATGATATGGTTATAGGTAAAATGTTTTTGCAAGAACTCAAAGAAGGTCGAAGAGCTAGTCACACTGCTCCTCAGGTTCTATTCAGTCATCGCGAACCTCCATTAGAACTGCAAGATGTTGGACCAGCAAATAATGATTGCATTGGATATATTACTTTTGGTAATGTACTATTGTTTAATTTCATCAAATTTTATAATTATGAAACCAAATTTTATATTCATTTAACAAATTTTCAATTTCAGTGTTATTTCCACGTCACACAAACCAGGAAGCTAGAAGTAATACTATTGATTTAATACACATGTTTAGGCATTACTTGCATTATCATATTAAGTGCAGTAAAGTTTACATTCACTCTCGAATGCGTACCAAAACAACTGATTTTCTAAAAGTATTGAACAGAGCTCGTTCTCAACCTAAAGTTACAGAGAAAAAGACGATTACGTAAGTCTCCATAAATTGAAGTTAATTTTGTTTTTTTTTTTTTTCAAATAAACTAAAATCTAATATCCAAATATTTCATGATAGGGGCCGAACATTCATTCGAAAAGAATGAGCACATGAATTAAGGAGATGTTACTGAACTATGTTATTGTGTATTAATCAACAAAGAAGAATCAAAAGTATTGCCTCAGGATAAAGTTACTAGGTAAATTACTGAGCAGAAGCTATGCTGAAAGCAGTTTTTGATAGGTTTAGGAATATCTATTTGCCTAAGAGTCCAAAAGCAGAACAATACAATTTATGAAACGAGACGTAAAAGATTTTACGCTAGGCTTTCATATTACAGTGAAATAAGCCATGGCATTTATTAATTGTAATACTTATTTAGTAAATCAATCAAAATGTGATTGATACAAAAAAACTACGTGACAATAGATTGTTAAGTAGTTTCTCAACAAAAACGAATATAACACGGCGTATAATCATACGATTCGGTGAATCGTCGGTTGTTGTGCTGTGAGAAATATTGATTATTAATATAATATATCGAAAAAAGTTCATTCGTTCAAATTGTTACATTGCAAACACCGATCCTTTTTACCTTTTTCTACCGAGTATTAAAAATTCTATTTCCATAATTCATGAAATAATTAATTCGTGAAAAAATCTTATGAAATGAATCAATAAGTTTAACGCAAGATTTTTTAAATAAACATTGTTAAAAATATTTTTAACCGTTATACTTCTGACTGACGACTTACCAACGCTTTACCTTCCTCTGAGTGCATTTGAAACAGCAAAGACTGTATTACGCTTGTACAATATACTAAGTAGAAACTAAAAATGCACAAAACTGAGTCACTTTTGTAAAAAAAAATTGTAAGTCAGGGTGATTATTATAATTATAAATAAATTAATAACAGAACTGACCAGAGAGGGTAAAATAACTCTTCTTTTCTCGTATCATATTGTACTTTTGATTCCAGCAGATCTATTATTTTTTAAAGATAAATGTAATTATTTAGCATCGATGTGAAATTTCGTTTGTAAAACGCGGTTTAGCAGGAGTTATCGGTGTGTTCATGTACGAAAAAGGAAGCTATCGATACGATGCAACAGGTAGTTTTCTTTTTTATCTAAAAAAAAATATGATAATTAAATATTTTTATTTTTTATCTTTATCGCATAATTATTATGTAATAAAAATTAATATAACATAATAAAACAAGGGAAAACTACCGAAACATGCATCTTCTTTTGTAATCAGTAACAAATCCTAATGACACTGTTGTCCACTATATCGATCCTTAAAAAGTAGGCAAGTACTAAAAAGAAAACATAATAAATTGTAGGAGTGCCTCTGCGAGGGGGTTGCAGAAACGCCGATTATTACAAGTAAGCTGCCACACCTTCCGGCAGCGTAAAGAATATTTTGTTATTTCAGCGCAGTCGACCGCGCTCACGGCAGCAGCACGCGTGCATACGGCAAAGAGATTTTCTTCTGCCTCTTTCTCCCTTGACTCGTCTCAATTTTTCCATCGGAAATGGAAATAGGCAATATCCTGTCGGAATTGGTGCCCACTCTGCCACCCTGTCCGGAGAACGGCACGCAGGCCACGGGCGAATTGTGCGCCGAGCAAGAGCACGAAAACGAGTGGCTGGAAAACGAGGTCGTGGGTATGCGTCTCTGGCAGCTCGTCGGCATCGTACTGTCCATCCTCTTGGCTATCGTCATTATGATCTGCTGCTGCGTGAGATTCCGCATACCCAGAACGAAGCAAGAGATCGAGGCAGATTACATAAGGAAAAAATTGACGAAGAGCTTCAGGCGGGAACTGGCCAAGATCAGCGACAAGGAGATGCAGGAGGACGACATGGATTTGAAAAAAGGTAGCCGGCAGGACTGCTTCTTTTACTGGCTATAATGAAAAACGTTTATTTCTCATTATTGCTTACAATCAATCGGTTTTCGAACGTAACACAAATTTTTTTTCACAGCTTTGGAACGTATTCAGGAGTTTTTTAACGCTGCGGAAATTCAAGAGAATCAAGAGGAGATAATTTGTGAGGGTCCCGCGAAAAGCTTCGGAAGTAAGTTCAACGCAATGTTCCAAGGTATGCGAGTTCGGTTTCAAAAAAACGAAACGCCAGAGTTCAATACCATGATTTAAAATCATTAAAAATTTTTCATTCTTTTTTTTTTTTGTCTAACTCATCGATTCGCAATACAAATTTGATGATTCTATGGAAAGCTATGTAGCAATTTCGTTACAAACTTTGAATTTCGACTATAAATGAGCTTTTTTTTGAAAATCTATAACATTGTGTAACATTGACGCTCGTATAACAGTGCAATTACAATAAATATTGCAGATCTATATTTGCTGTGCGTGAGTTACAACGTGACGGTTGCTCACGAAACGTGTGTAAAAATTATATGGAAAAGAAACATCTTTTTTCAACGAGATTACATTTACATCGATAATAAATTTTCATGCATGATTTTTCAGTAACAACTATACGTCAATTTAGCTCAGAGCTGGACAGTTCGTGGGGGTGAATATTTAAATAAAATACGATGTATTTACCTATCTATCTATAGATAATATATACACATTAAAGTTATATCTTTTTTTTTTTTTTTTTTGTTAAAAATCGTGTTACAACAGCCCACCCGCTGTATCACAAAATCCTCATTGACAAGTCTAAATTTTACTCTAATACTTTGTACTTTGCAAAAGTATCGGCTTTTTCAATTCTCGTTTCAAAAACTTGACGATTGACACCGATCTTTTGTTGATTTTTTTTTTCATTTATCTTATATATCAACAATACTTTGTATCATCTTTGTAATAATTATTAATAATTCTGTCTGTATACATTAATATATAGAATACATTTATAAATTAGTGATTGAAATTAACTTTTTTTTATTCATTCAATGACATTGATAATAAAGTTTATTATAGTAATTATATATACTGATTTCTACACCAATTCTCTACCATCAAAAGTACATCTTATAAAAAGAAGTCATCGTTTGTTTTTGATTTTTACATCAGTTAATTTTTTTCTTTGATATTTTAATATCAATCAGGCATTGTTTTCAGTTTTGAAAACTCGGCTGAATGTTATTGTAATTGATTGGAAGCGTTGAAATTCATCATCTGCTACACGTTCATAGAAATAATTTTGTTTTGTCTTTTCATCGTCATTGTCAGTTTGCATCCTGGCACATGAGTAAATATTTATAAAATTTAGATCTCAAAAATTTATCTCTGCCCAGCCCTGTTTTTTGTAGTAAATATAGTTTACATCAAAATTGTAACATTTTTTATAATTATTATTATTATTATTTATACACAAATTCACAAGCTGTCGCAAGTGATATTTTTATATGGGAAGTTTGAAAATGAGGTAGACGATATTGAAATTTCGCGAGTATATAGCACCATTTTCATTTTAAAAATGTTGAATACATTTGAACATACATATAAGAAATTTGATAATTCACATCTACATTTAAACTACGATATTTGGTCATTGTTCTCACACTACCTTTTAATTGTTACACGATGATTGTTAATGGATCGAAGAAGTGAAATAAAAATTGAAATGATGATGTTTTAATAATGTTTTTATTGATAAAAAAATGAATAATTGCAAATTAAAAAGATGGATAAAACATATACAGTATAATAATTAATGTACACTGAATAAAAGGTGTCAGTAATGTACACTGCGCAACTATTCATACTCTTCCCTCGCACATTTTCCCGCAACGAAAATTCAACGCCACAAATAGAAAATACATTAAGTAAATAATGCTTCGTCGAAGGTATATTTACTCGAAATATTTTTGCAAATGTAACAAAAATTTAATAAATTATAATATTAATAATATTCAAGCCATTTGGTTTGACGTCGTCGCTCTCTCAAGCTGATCATCGTCGACTAGTAAGTATATATAATATAATATTCGTTTTTATAATTCAATTCACGATTATCACGTTCATTCGAGGTAACAAATACTTGAATTTTTAAAAGTATAAAAAATGCAACTAAAACAAACGACGCTAAAATCCTTATTGTCGTTTCAAAAAAATAGAAATTCTTCCTCTCAATACGTACAAATCAAGGAAGTTAATATATATTTTCACAGCTTAATGTTGAACCATCTTCATCGGCTTTCGAATCGATGGTATCGAAATGCACAACAAATTGCCACTGCATTCACGTATACACACTTAATTATCACACACATGAGCAAACTCTCACAGCGATTCTCTCCTATTCGTAAAAAAATAGCTCGTAGAAAAAGAAAATTTTTTTAATGAATTTTTGTGCATTTAAATGTTGCTTGCATATTTTTATATACCATATATATAGATTTGTATATATCGTAACGCATGCGTATATAAAGTTATATTCACGTACATCCACGAATAATTATGTATCACGACGATTAATTATTAAATTATACTCTAAATTTTTACTCATAGATTTCAATCTACACAATACAGGGGGGGGGGGGGGGGGGGAAANTTATACACATCACAGGCGATGCATAATTATAAAAAAAAAATTTAAAGTTATTACACGATAATTCACAATTGTAAGCACCTCTTGTTGACGTTTTTTTTTGGAGAAGAGGAGGATGAGAGAAATAGAGAATTAGCTACCCGCTACGTGAATAGATACATATTGTTTCTTGAAAAAGTAAAAGTTCGAACAAGAGTGCGTATACTTCCTTATTTTATATCTACGGAAGAATTTTTCAAACAGTCATCGGGGGGTAATAGATTTAGGCTTTTTGCAGATAAATGCAATTCCGAAGAAAATACGAATGTTCGTTGTTTTGTTCGCTTCACATTATATGCGACTATTATGTATAGGAACTACCGTGCGAAATTTCATCAGCATTCTACACATAATGGAAAACACGGAAATTTGTCTTAACTTTTACGTATTACACTCGAATTTGGAATAAAAGATGGAATCTTTGATACGCAGCAACAGCAGCAGCGAGTAAAAAGTTGCAAAATATCGAGGAATGATTCACCGTTGCTCGATAGGAAAAATACGATACGAAACACGTGGCGGGGAGGAACAGAGGAGACTTGGACAAAGAGAGGGTGAAGTTTATTCGTGCGCTTAGGCGTGCCTTCACGAGATCTTATTACGCCACCACGAGAACTTCATCTTGGGACATGGATATTGAAAGCTAATCACGGTGTGTGGGATGAGCGAGAGGATCGGTAAGAAACTCGAGCAACGTCGGGACTTTGTCGTCGTCGTCGTGGTCTTTTCTACGTTATCATCATCGTTGTTGCCACTGCCGTTATTACTACCGGTAGTACCACTACTGCTACAATTATTACTACTAGCCGTAAGGCTCGAAAATGCCTCTACTGGGTTACACTTAACGTTACTGCTACTACTACTGCTACATCTAGTGACATTATTACTAGTACTGGTGCTTAATTTAGAAGACGTATCACAAGGCTCTTCGTTTTCTTTCTCGTCGAGCTTCTGCTGCTGGAGTCTGCTGCTGGAGACTTTGAGGATGCGCGACGAGGGTGACGAGGTCGAGTGAGCCGGCGACGTCGTCACGCTCGGGCCGTAACTGCTGCCCGTCAACGATTTCAGCGAGGCCCGACGATAGACCTTGGAGCGCTGCTGTGGCGGACGCACTGCTGCCAGTGCTGGTTGCAGCTGAGGCGACGACGTCGAGTGCGACGAATCAAACTGCTCGTTGTTGTTGATATTGTTGATGATGTTGTTGTTGTTGTTGTTGTTGTTGTTGTTGCGAATCCGGTGACAATTGAGGGAGCGGGACGAAGGCGAGAGAGGAGGAGGATGAGGCTGCGCCATATCTACTGCTTCTTTTTCTGCTGCTACTGCCTCAACGGCGCGTTGCATCGCGAGCGCGGTCGAGGCGCCCTGGAACCCTCAGCTCGGAAATTTCGAGTAGAAGGCGCAGCTGAGGTCGTAGTTCTTGAAGCGACAGTACTGCGCGTCGTCGCGCACGTAGTCGCGCCTCAGCCCGCCAAGGCAGTCGTCCGACTGCTCGAGCTCGCGCGGACCCTCCGCGGCCACCGACTGCTTGTTGGCGAAGATCGAGACGACGAATTTGCCGGGCTTGAAGCAGCGCAGGACGCGCTCGATCACGTCGCCGTACGAGGCGGCCGCGACGTTGCTCTCGAACGAGACGTAGGAGAAGTCCGGCTCGGGCGTGATGTGGATCGTCATGTAGCTGCCCTGTAAAGAAAAAGGTTAATTATAATGTATAAAAAGTAGTCGCTTCCGCGACGGAAATCGCTTTTGTGCATAATTCTTGTAAAATTTGAATGTACTATGAGACACTTTTATAAATTTCGAGCTATAAATTATTATAAACTTAATTTTCATGAACTGAATCCTTTTATAAACTAAAACGTTGGATTTTGGACTTATAATAACATTTATAAAAGATTGTAAAAGTTCAGAAAGTTTTTTTAAGTCAAAACCAGCTGAAATTTACTGTCAGATGAAATAGTTAAAAAATTATCTAAATCTCATAAATTTTTATAAAATCTTTAAGATACTTTTACACCCCTTAATTCAGTGTTTAATTTAAATTCAAAACTTGTTGAAATATTCAGTCAAAAAGTCGTAAAAATTAATTTAAAAAGTCAATTAATTATAATAAAAATCTAAGGGGAACCCACAGACAAGTAAAAACCAACTGACAAAAAGATTTCCGTCACTTTTTTCTAAAAAAACTATAGAATTTTCTAAAGAACTATAGAAAAAAGTGACTGATCAATTCAATAAAGTGACAAAAGTCTTTTAAATACTGAATTTGTGTTACGGGATTTTTGCCAATTTGTTTATACTTGTCTGTGGATTCCCCTGAGACGATTGGATTCTTGTCACAATTGACTAAAAGAACCAAGGGAGAAATTAGTCAACACGAATAATTAAAAAAGGTTTGTAAAAACGTTTGGAATTTCCCTGAGGGTGCTAGAAAACAAAACGTCATCGAACATACGTTTTTCGACACGCCGTTCATGGAGTAGCCGCAGGGCTCGAAGAGAAAGTCGTCGATGAGCATGTTGGGCAGCAGCTGATCGATGCCGGACTTGCGGGTGGCCTCCTCGGCCGACGAGCAGACGTGCCGCGTGAATATGCTCATCACCTTGGGATCGAGCTGCGTCATCATGATCTCGAGCGTCTGATCGGGCTCGCGTTCGTTCGTCATAGTGGTCGTAGTCGTGGTCGGTGGTGCATCGTCGGTGGATTCTTGCTGTCCAGTGGATTGGGGTGTGGACGACGGCGCCTCGCGATTCAGGGTGTAGAGGTACCAGCACTCGCTCTCCTCCGAGCCGAGACAGTAGGCCTCGCCATCTAACGAAAGCGACGTTATTACGATTTTTGATTACAGAAATCGGCCGGCTTCCATCGTCGTCGATATACTTACCAGGGAAGAACGTGTCCAACAGAGTGACTTCCTCCTCGAAAGCTCGATGAGGGGCTATCTGCAGCTCCGGTCGTTTGTAATTCTTCCTCGAGTAAAACAAGTTCTGCGAAAAACAAGGGGGTACAGGGTGAAACGTAGAAAAAAAAAAATTAATTCATTGCATAATTTTGTCATCGTCGCGTTTACGACGCTATGTAAAAGCCCGATCGCAAGCTCGCAAGCTCCGTCATTATTCCAGAGTTTATTCTAGACGTTTCAATTTGACGCACGTCCATCCCCCTCGAGTAATATACAGACGTTATATTTATATGCTCATCGAATACGGAGTGAAAGCACACAATGCGTCACAAAAATAGAAATCCCGAGAGATAAGCGGCCCGCGAGCGAGCGAGCCATGAATGCACACGATATATATACGCTATGTATGGACTCGAGCGAATCGATAATATACAAACGAGCGACACACGTCCGCTGCACATGTATCATCTACCTTTGTGCTCTCTCGCACACACATCAGTCAACAGCAGCAGCAGCAGCACATGTGTGCATCAGGCACTAGGTCAAGTTATATAGTCAAACCCACCCCCCAAAGCAGAACCACCTCGTGAGCCACCACCACCTCCTGCTGCTGTTCCTCCTCACCCTTTCTACACCCTCCTCCTCCGTGTTTAGCTGCTATGTACGCGAATCAATTTACGAGACTTCACCTCTCTCTCAACTACGCAACAGCTGGTGGCGTACATATCTCGCGCGCTCGTTTATAATTATCATCGCGACCGACGACGACGACGACGTTTGACGTTTTACGTTTTTCGAGATGCGCACGTCCAGATTATGAAAGTGATAAATATATATATGCGACGCAGAAAATTGACACAAAAACAGGTGGTCGGCATTGCGATCTATTTGATTGTAAATTACCTCGACTTTGTCGAATCCGGTGTAGCTCTCGACCAGATCCAAGAGGGGCTCCAGGCACTGGAGCGGCGTCGTGGTGCCGCACGTCTTCAGAATCAGCCGACGCTTCGAGACGAACATGCTGCTCTCGCTGAAGAAAAACAACAACAAACGCTCGAATATATAAATCAATATTATTATGAGAGATTAGATTATTGTTCGTTAATCGATCGTTTGTCGCTTTACCGAAAGATCGCATTCTTTCGTATTCAATCGAGACGCAATGGAATCGATGCGATCAAAACGGGAGACAAAACGCCGAGACGGAGTCGAGTTAAAGGAACGCGCGATCGAGCTCTCCGGTGCGGCGGCGCCAACGAATTGATATTACGAATCGTTATATAGGCTCCAATCGTTAACCCAACGAAGACGGCGATACACTCGCGCGTCTTGTATATAATAAATATATAATATAATACGCCGCTGCGCGTCTGGTCTTTGACCTTTTCACGCGGTGGAGCGAAAGAAAAGCCATTTTGAAATTATTATCATCATCGGCTGCACTCGGCGAGCACATGCTCGAAACGTGCACGCGGATGATGAATTGCATAATTCATCCGAAGACAGAGAGAGAGAGAGAGAGAGAGAAAAGAGAAAGAAGAAAAGAGCAAGTGCGACGAGATAACGCGCCGCGATGACGAAGAAAGAGTAATCGTCGCGGAAGAACCGCACAGCGCGAGCGATGCATTTGTCAAAATCAGCTGACAACGAGTGTCTATAGTTGATCCAGCTTCATCCAGATTCTTTTTTTTATTCGTGTAACTGGGTTTATTGCAGCTTTTGGATTGCTGGTTGTGTGAAAGCGATACCACACGTACACAAACTAATCGAAGGAGTAAACAAAAAATAAAATTGCGTCGGCCAAGATAAGAATCGATTAAAAAATAATAATAATAATAATAATAAAAATATCACGACACTGTTTCATGGGGCTGAGGCTATATATAATCTCTTTGTTCTTTTAGAGATCGGGCCTACTTCCGGCTGGACTCCATTTAACAAAGGCGTATAATACGCATTCGAGATTTTTCTAAAACTTTCGAACAGAGAAAGAGAAAGAGAGAGATAGCAGCACCGAGGCACACATAAACATGCGGGGGGAATCGAAGCACAAATTGCGGCCTCGAGAATTTTGATCGACTACAATACAAACGATACGTTACACAATACCTCATATATACATTTGACAGCTAAGCGAAAAAAATATTTACCCGCGCGCGAGTGAAAGCGATACATTTTTTTTTTATTGCAGGCGTTAAGTGCGATGTGCTGCAAAAGAGGAGGAAAAAAAAGCGCCTCTCATATTATAGCCGCGCCCAGCTAGTGTCGTATACGTAGTGGAAGAATATTCGAGAAGCCGGCCGGCTTCGCGCCTCCTTCTTATCTGCGCCTCGTTTGTAATAAACTTCACGCACGTGCGTGACACATTTGCATATAGCACTAACGCAGAGAGTGGGAAAAATGCAGATGTATTTACGAAGTCCGCACGTGTGTGTGTGTGTCGGAATTTGGCTCTGCGAGTTGTTGCGTTGCACTTTTACAGTTTCGACATGCGAAATCGTCGTCGTTACGCGAACAAAAAAAAATTAAATATTTTTCATTTCCAGTACGTGCATAATATTATTACGTAGCATAATTCTGCGTTCGTTAATAAATCAATAATCTCTCTCTCGAGGCGACGAACGACTTTTGTCAAGCCTTACTATTACGACAACTACATAACTCGACGAATCGCTCAAGTTCAAGTGCAAAGAGCCGCGCACGAAATCTCGTTTGGTTGTATTATATATCTAAGACGTATCTTTCGTCGCTGCCAAATTTCGGCGTTAGAACGAACGGAATTTGGCATCGATCGCGCTCAAAACGAGGAATTCATTAAAAGAGCGAAAATGATAAATCGGCTGAAATAATATTACCTCAGCACGTAAGCGTCGACCGAGTCGTTTCTGCAAAAGCTGATGATTTCGCAGCGCACTATTTTCAGCAGCGATTCCCATTTTTGCCTGAAATCAGATATAATACATAAAGTGCATCGTGGTGCGATATGAGAATACACATTCGTATATGAGCAATTTTCGCTGCACAAAAGCAAAAGAAACAAAATTTATTAGAAAGTAACCGAAGTAAGAAAGGAGAACGAAATAAAAATTCTTTATGGCCCTGTCCTTAAAAATCATACGCGTGCAATAATTCATATACGCTAGACAAATGGAAATTGGCAATAATTGAGCGCGCTCGAGAATAATTATACATACATATACGAAAAGAAAAGAAAAAAAAACGAGTTTTTCAACCTTGTTAGGATAACAAGAGAAGTTTGTGTGTGCCGATTATAATTGTGTGCGCTCGCGCGCGCGACGCGAGGTGCGTCATCGTATTTGCGATCGTCTGCGCGAGCTGTGTGAGCCTCGTAAAAATTTCGAAAGACAAATAAATAATAAATTGGGAGCTTATTAATCGTCAGCGCGAACGAAGTATTGGGTTACTGCTATGCCACTTGCATGGAATACGAAGTTAGAGAGAGAGATTTGATTTATGGTAAAAAGCATGTGCGTGAGAGATATTGTATCCTAATTGGCCGATAGAAATGACGAGAAGCGTGTAAAATAAGCATATATAATGTGTAGGAATCGCATCGAAGAGATAAAGTGGAGCTCGGCGATCAGCCTCGTCGACGAATTGTACGTTTATAAAGCGACGAATGCGCTGACTAATGACAATAAATCTCTCTCTCTCTCTCCAAAGACGGATGTGCAAAGAGAGAGTCGTCGATCGATGAAATTCGGATCGTTATACCTCGTGTGTGGTGGCGTACCGCGACGCCCATGTATCAATAATAACGGCGGATTAATTAAAAAAAAAAAGAAAGAAAAAAATCGCGAGCGATAAGCAGAGCACAGTGCAGTAGCAGCAGCGCCTCGCGGCATAGAGCATTATAATATATACACAGGCGATAAGTTCAATAACTCGTAAAAAGCTCCGCGCGTTTCGAATTGTAGTATAGGCGCGCGAGCGAGCGAGGAGAGAAAAATTTCCATAGCATGCCTCGCACAGCTACGCAGAGCGGGGGCAGACGCAGGCAGTCGGACACGAGGATCGACGACTGTATACATAGCAGTGAATTGCGAGAACACGAGACAGCTGCAAACGTGCGTTGAAAAAAAAAAAGGAAAAAAAATTCCCTGCGAGCTTCGTTCGAAAATTATGTTTTAAACGGTCTCTCGTCACATATAATATAGTAGTAGGTCACACGAGCGATCTACGTCATAAAGCACGCCACGGCTATACTATGCATGCGACAGTATGTGTGTGCGGTTGAATATACAAAGCATCGGGAAGAGAGAGAGTGCAGATAAAGCTGTCACGACGAGCTGTCATAAAGAAAAACCTTTACGAAGATCAGGAAAGCTTCGGATGCGCCAATGCGTAGGAGAGAGAAAGAGAGCGACGAGCCGCAACTGCTTGTATATTACTCTCAGACGAGAGTGAGAGCCTTGAAAAGTAGCAAAAAGCGTCGAGTGTCAGGTATAGAATATTATGTACTGCGCTGCTGCTTGTGATCGATTTCTCTCTCTCTCTCAGTGCCTCGCGAAGTGGCGCGAGGAGCTTGCGAAGTGGCAGCGGCTCTCTCTCTCTCTCTCTCGATATTATCAACTCTGCAGGGTGAGAAACAGAGAGAGAGCTTGCGGTGTGTCACGCGCTTTCCGTATCGCACAGCAGGTACGCAGCGCGATATCGAGACAACGATCAGCTGCTGGAGCTTGACAGCTCGATCTCTCTCTCTCTCTCTCTCTCTCTCTCTCTCTCTCTCTCTCTCTCTCACCTGACGGATGCGATAATAGAGACAATTTCGATGTATGCATGGATGCGTAGAGATACCGCACTCTATGTACAAAACGTGATGTGCGCGACACACCCTCTCTCCCTTCGGTATATATCGCATGTATAGTATAGCACTGCTGCTACTCATTTAAGCGATCAAGGTCAAGCGACGCTCGGCACGCGAACGACTAAATGTAGCTACTGTACGTGGCGCGACTAAAAGCAACAACAACAACAAAAAACTACAAACTATGCAAAGAACGAGTAAAGTACCTGGGTATTATCCGCAAATCGTGTTTAGACTCGATCTCCAATTTTTGCTGTTGCTGCTGCTGCTGCGACGTCTCTTTCTTGTTGTGATTGTTGTTGACGTTGGTGGAGAACCAGATCTCCAGGAGCTTTTCCACACCCTCGAAGAATTGCACGCTCATGATTTCGGCGCCGGCCTCCACGTCGCTGTCGCTGCCCTGCTGCTGTTGCTCCAGCTTTTTTTTATTGCCCTCCTCTTCCATCGACATCATTATTTTTCTTTTCTTTCTTTAATTCTTTACTTTTCTTCTCTCTCTAATTCAAACAGCGTAAATCCAGCAGTAGCGAGGATTTCAATTGTATTTGTTTACCTCTGTATGTCCGAACTGCGGAGGGACGACACCGACGTGTACTGTGCTGCAGCAGACGGCACTTTATTTTCTCTCCCCTCTTCCCGTCTCGAAGTGGTGTGTATATATATAATAATAGCGCAGCAACCCTCGCACTCGGAGCACAAAATACGATACACACTTCTCGGTGGCACCACGGCACTTGCGGCCCTCTTTATATGCGATTCTCTATCCGTTCGAGGGAGAGAGATGTTGGTATTTTCAGAGACGTTCGAAACTTTTTGTTCCTCGTTGAGTATCGTCGAACTGGACAAAAACGCACGTGCGTAGATGTTTTTTTTTTTTTTTTTGATACTATATATAGAAGAGCATGAAAGAAACAGTGAAAAGGGAATGCAAGAAAGCTCGTCGAGACTCGTCTGCCTTTAGGTGTATATTGTAAGCTGTTGGTGTGTGTATTCGAACAAGCGGGGAGTCGTCTGCTGCTGCTGCCGAATCAACGTAGTAGTAGTAGTAGTAGTAGTAGTAGTAGCAGTACCTTTTGACACTTGGCGACGTTTATCTTTCCCAGTAGACGAGCAACGCATCGACCTTTCTACGCACGCATTTGCACGAATCTTTCTGCGTGTAAGTGTATACTTATCGTTTGCACACTTCTTCTATAAATGCTGCTGCTGCACGCCTTCTCTCTCTTTCTCTATGTATATGTGCGTCTATGTCTCCCTGCGTGCCCCTGCAACGGCTCCGTACTCAGTAACGTGACTGTGTGCGTAAAAAGGTGCGATATGCAAAAGGGGATAATTTGGATCGAGTTACGACAATCGATTATCACGCGGCGACAATGGCACGCCACTTACTCGCGAGACAAACGCGTCGAGAACAATTAAATTCTACGACGATCGATATTTGGGAAATTAACGAAGATCACCCCGTCAATCGATCGAATCGGCAAGTGTAATATGACGAAATTCGGAGTCGAGGTAGAGATGAAAAAAACCAAAGACCAATCGCTCGAATAATCCGTGCTTTTCTTAAAACTTTTTTTTCGTATTTTTATATTACTTTTTTGTTTTGTTTCTCGTTTGTTTTTTTTTCTACACGCAGAACTTCTATGTTATTATATGTATGTATATCGCGTGCGCGCGCGCGGGGGCCGAGAGACTGAGTTACAACTGCGCGGGCAGCTACTGCTCAACTGACGCAGCGACTCGCGAGCTGCGAGCGGTGGAGCTCGACGAGCAGAGTCTCTCCTCCGCGAGAGAGAGACAATACGAAAAACTTCGCTGCTGCTGCTGCTGTGTGCCTCCGCCGCGGCGCGGAGCAGACCGCAGAGACTAGAGAGAGAGAGAGAGAGAGAGAGAGAGAGAGAGAGAGTCGTCAAGCGCAGCTGCAGATTTTCAGCAGCAGCTCCAAAAAAGCAAGTAGGGATAGGGAAGTCTCTCGCTCGGCACAGACACACGTTAAAAGAGACAAATGTATGTGTCTCGTGTGCGCCGACGTGAGATCCGCTGAGTCCTGACCCGACTGTATACTCGCGGACTGCACAGAGCCTATTATAACGCCACGCAACGACTGCAGCTTTTTGCTAATTGTCAATTGTAAAAAACAGTCGCTGATCGCACCCCCGCTCATTGCGCCGGCGCCGGCTCCGCGACTGTGACTCATTACTGCGCGCCCCGCCAAATTCTAATATAATCGCCGACTTTTATCAGCGGCACATTGCACTCAGCATCTCGATCTCTTATACGCTTGAACCGATGCGACTTGCGAGCAAGAGGAAAATTGCCGGACGCAACTTGACACGGATAGAGAGAGAGAGAGAGAGCGACGGTGATAAACCTCGCGCGCGGGAATAAATCGTCAAGTTCGCTAATCGAAGCTCCAACGACGATAATAACGCTGACACATGAGAGCGCGCGCAACTTCACTCGTGAATTGCGTGTTCGCAATTCGAGTCCGCGAGTAAAATTGAACTTCTTTCCCCCTCTGTCCCAATGACTTATGATGTATTGCTCGAACGATTCTCCCGAACTTCCATTGAAATTTTATCTTCTTCTCTTCGTTGTCGATCGACGAAGAACAAAAAATAAAGAGTAAACGTTCAACTCGTACCTACGTCGGCTATTCTCTGAAGCAACTGCGGCTAATTTTTCGAACGCTTCGATTTATAATTATAATCACTTTTAATTCCGTACAATTGAGCCGATAAAACTTCGCGTTCTTCGGGTAATTTTTGCTCGTCGGGCGAGAAAGTACAATTATTGACGAATCGTTTATTTCGTGAGTGACATTTTTATTGGAAATTATGATTCAAAATGTTTACACGTGTACTATATTATATACAGTTCGTATTTACAATGATAACTTATATACAAAACTTTTATTCAATAATAAATAAAAAAAGCCTAACTAAGCAGTTTTATAAACCGAGCCATTTACACTTCACTTCTTCTTTCCTCCTTTGTTAGTATTATTTTTCGCGTTTTTCTTCTCTACTGCACCGGCGAGCGGCTTCTTTTCCCGCGCGTCCAAATCGCACTTGACCTGCTTCACGAGGGCGTCCTCGGTCATGGGCTCGATTATCTTGCCCATCTTGGTCTTGACGTGCGGCAGGGTGAGCTTGGTGAACGTCTTCTCGGGCACGAATTCGCGGCCGATCGGCGCCCTGATGCTGGCCTCGAAGTCCTTCACGGCGTTGTAGGGGAAGGGCAGGTCGTTGACCATGTGGCGGCGAATTTTCGGCGCGTTCTCCTCGAGGATGACGACGTCGCCCTTGTTCTCGTCGCGACGCGGCGCCGCCTTGGGGGCTTTGAAGATGAAGCGACGACGCTTGCGACGCGACACCTTGATACCCGGGCCACCCCAGCTACCCCAGCCCGGCAGAGTTAGATCGATGTCTTGTGGTTGGTTCTTTTTGATCTGGAAATTCAATGGTATCGTTAAAACAGTTATCCACGAAAATTATGGCGTTACAGCGTGTATAAAATTGAATTTTCAACGTACCTCTGCAGCTTTTTCTTTTCTAAAGTCACGAGCTAAATCAGTATCGCGGAAAGCTTGAGTAAATCTTCTTTCGTCTTCCCTGTTGGATACGTACTCGTTTTCATCTTCGATGTCATCCAGTACATCTTCCTCGTCGGTATCGTCAGGTAGCATCGTTTTCATAATTTTAGGTTTAATTATTTTATTCTGATCCAGCGTGGTGTTTTCAATTTTCCTTTTCGTTGTAACCTGATTGATTACCGTTTTTATCGCATCTACGTCACGTTCCTTTTCATCGTCAGATTCGTCCATTGGCTTATCTATTTGTGGCCTAAGGACCCGCTGATTTTTTAAACCCAGTTTTTCAAGATCTTCTACCGAATTGTCCTTTGACTTTGCTTCTGAATTTCCATCCTTCTTCTTATTTTTTTTATTTTTCATCTTTTTCTCTTGTATCTTTTCGGTTTTAGACTTTTTATTTTGGACACTTTCATTTGCTGTTGAGTCTGTCTTTGATAAAGATTTCTTTTTATTTGAATTACTAGATTTGGTAGTTTCCTCTACTGACTTGACCAATTTTTTTGGACTTTTCTTTGATTCGATCTCTTCTTTTTGTTTTTTCGTTTTTTTCTTTTTACCTTTTTTTGTGGAAGAAGCATCTGTCACACATTCAGCTAAATCATTGGTTTCTAAAGTTTTTTTTTCAACATCATTGGTATCTGCACTTTCTTGTTCAACATTATCGGTCTCTATAAATTCTTTTGTTACATCAACACAATCCACACTTTCTTTTTCACTATCTTCACTGTCTTGCTCTTCATTGTCTTTTGCACCTTCAGCTAGTTTTTTATGTTGTTCATCCCAATATTTTCTATATTGACCAATAAAAGCATCAACTTCTGATTCTGATGGCTTGGAATTGGCATTCCAAGGATTATCAGTTTCTGATGTTTTTGTAGGGGCATCTTCTTGAGCATTCTCGTAAACATAATCATCCTCATCACTATCATCAGTTTTCAATTTTTGTGTTAATTCTCTGCTAATTGCTAATTGTTCAGCTAAAACTTTACGACTCTGGAAAATACAAGAATAATATGTAATAAACATGATTATTGAAGTTTCAAGAAGGTGACAAAAAAAATTCTTACCTCACTATCATACTTTGCTCTAATTTGTTTATTTTTGGCCCATTGACCAGTGCTTTTGTGTCGCAAAGTCATGCGCTCATGAGCTCTAGCTTTATCGATTAAGTCAAGTTTTTCTAGAGCTGCTTCTGGGTTTTTCTTTTTCAACTCTTCAAATTCCTTTATTTGCTGCTTTGTTTTCGCTTTTCTAGCTATTCTATGGTATTTTTTACTTTTTATTTTCTTTGTTCTTCGAGCTTTGGAAGCTAGATAACTCTAAAAAAAAGGATTCAATTTACATTAGAATATATTATTATAGATTTAAAATTTTAAAGCATTACAGCAATTATCTTACTTGCTGTGCTCTCAATTTAGCAGCTTCACTCCTCTGTTCCAAAATTTCTGCTAACGTCAAAGAAAATTTGTCTTGGGTTACTGGCTCTGGTTGTTTGGGAGGATCAATTTCTTCTAATTTTTTTTCTAAATCAGTTTTCAAAACAAATCGATTTGCTATTTCAGATGGTTCCATTTGCATAGAATTTTCTTTCAAAGGAAACTTCACAGACACTGCTGTTCTTTGATGCGCAATAACTCCAGCCCATTTATTCAATGTTTTTTTAGCATTTTCAAAGCCTACTTTACGTTTCACCTGTAATTAGAAAATAATAATACCATAAAAAATGTCAATAAACGATAGAGAGACAATTCAAAAGAAATTAAAATGAATGTTGTACACACCCTATCAGCTGCAGGTTTTTCCAAAGGTTTTGGTAATACTTTGGTTGTCGTTTTAATAGCTTTAATTTTTTTCTTGAGATCATGCACATTTGTCTTGGACCCCAGAGCTTTAACAAGATCTTCAGCCGTCACAAGATTTTTGTCTGACACACTGGATTTAACTAAATTAAACTCTGAGATAATATTACTTGGCTCGCTCCTGGTAGGCTTTCGAATCCTTAAAAAAACAATAAATTACATAAATTACAATGAACCACATTTTGACAATCATAACCTAGCTAGAATGCTCAATTACCTCCGCTGGGATTGTTTCAATTTTTCTTTCTTCGCAGCCTTCTCATCATTTTCTCTGGGAGCCATGATGAAGTGTTTAAGGAATTATTCTGATATCGAATTTTGATAAAAAATATCCTTCTATTAGTGTAAACGGCGAAAGCAAAACAAATGAATGAGTTTACAGGTCACAGCAGACCGGCGAGAAGGAGCCACACGTGCTTCGCTGCTTCAGTCAGAGAACTGTGCAGGCTGCAGCTAACGACACCTACGCTCTCGTGTAAAACAAACTTTCCCGGCACCCCTCTGCTATTGACCGATGGTCAAGTGACAAGTCATAGTGGGAGAAACTTATCGAGATACAAATATTTTGACATTTGAATACCATTTATTAGAAGAATTCTGGGAGTATTCTCTTGCAGAAAGAATTAAAAATTTTCAATAAAATTGTAAGATCGGCCGAAAATAAAATTAACTTTTTCCTTGTGAAACTTTAAATCCTGAAGTACCGACTATTGGCGCTACTTTTGCACATGTCATAATCATATATTACACAGTAACCCGCAGTCTATCCATGCACCATAAAATATTAGGTACCTACAGCATGACAACAAGACGATGTAGCGCTAATCGCGAACTGTCGTCGCGATCCGGCCTGTTTTGTACGAAAAGTAATCAAACACAAGTTATAGGTCGTCGAAGTTCTTTGTTTTGAAAGTTTTATGAAAATAATATTATCAGTAAGTGTGTCATTGAACAATTGGATCCGATGTTGCGATGCTTCTTACTTAAAGATTGCATTTTTTCGTGAACCAATACAATAGAATATATATGTTTTTAAATTTTTACCCATCGACATAACCTTTGATGATAATGACTTTTTGTTTAGAAAGACTGATTGGTGATTTATAAAGATGATTCCCTATGTATTGATTTTGGCAACATTCCTAAGTTTAAGCGAGGTCTGGAATGTTTTTCTTGTTAAATTTGTAAGTATAATTTGTTTGTCATAGATTGTTTTAGTTATGGTTAAAAGTAATACAATTATAACTATTTTTGTTTATTGATTTTTAAAACAGATATTATCCTGGTGTTTTAATCTCTCGGATGAGGATCACGCTACTAGAGCAGAAATGTTGGATCTTAAAACCCAAATGAATAGTATATCAATGGTAGATGAATTTGCCAAGTATGCTAGATTGCAGAGAAAATATAATAAGTTGAATGATCAGCTCAAAGATAAATGTATGTATCTAAATTAAGAAAGTATTTGTTGTTTTGGATTCTATTCTCAATATAAATTTTTATGTTTTTATGATTATAGTGAATGATAACACTCAACAAAGGCTAAAAGTAAGGTTTTTTCTCATCTGTGGTCTTAAGACATTTACTGTAAGTAATAAAAGAATTTAAAATTTTTTGTCCAATGAATTTGATATACAATTTGAAATTTATTATTTGATCAGATACTAGTCTCAGCAATTTTGGTGTTTATATATCGATACGAACCAGTCATACGGTATTCAGAAGGCCTCTTTTTCCCCTTTGAATCAATTCTCAGTTGGCCTACAGGACAAGAAAACTGCATTTCTTTACCTATGTGGATGTTTGTAGTAAGAACTAGTGTATCAAAGTTTGGAGCAAAAGTGTCTTAATTAACTTCAATATGTTTTATTTGTTGTAAATAAATGTACAAACGAAATTTTCATTTAAAAATATAAAAAAAAAAAAATTACTATTATCATTACAAGCTAACTCATCAATGCATATATTTTATTCAATTGATTAATTTATTTCGAATGAATACCCATTATTTATTAGCAAAATGGCATATATTTCATAAAAGCATTAATAACATACATAATAAGTGAACAGAAGATTCTTCTTACAATTTTTGTTTAACAAGAATTTTTAGTCAACAAAGAATAGAATAATGTTGATTTCATGTTTTTCAGAGTTTTCAATCCAAATATTAAACTTTATTTTAAAAATTCTTAATTATTCATAATTTTCAATTTTTTTCCATAAGATGGATCAGTGATAAATTTTAATTTATTTTTGAATTTCAAACATCTGACACTGTTGACACTGATTAAAATAAACTTAAAATACAAATATTCAATCATTTTAAACCCCCTCATCAAGATTACTTTGAAACCACTGATAAATTTACCCTATCGATTGAAAAATGATTTCATTTTGAGTAGCACACATTGAAAAATCTATACATTTGAAAAAAATTCATTTTATTTTTCAATAAGAGAGAACTTAATTCATGTTATATGGTTAAAGTGTGCCAAAATTAAGTTTTCTGACTGTGCAAATGATTTATTTTTAATGAGCGCATATTGTAAGGAACATTAATGTGAGTTTTCAAATATAGATGGGAACACTTTCTTCGTACTTAAGTACACATGTATATCAACATAAAAGGTATCATTCACACCTTTTTCAAAAATACTATAGAATTTACTGGTAACAAAGTGCTTTTCATGTATTGTAATTTATTACCTCACAGGAATTTTTTTACTTTTTTTTAAGAAATATTAGTTTATTAATTTTAAAATATATTTTTAAACATTCAGTTATGTTTAAGACTATTGATTATTTCTTATTGTTAAAGAGTAAAATTTAGTTAAAATTGATGATCCACACAGAACTGTTTTTACCATGTATGTAAGAGTACAAGGATTTTCATACAATTTCTTTTATTTCAAAGGTAAAAATAAATACTTATGAATTCAAATAGAACCAATGTATGTTGAAGCCTTCTATCAGTTTTTGAAATTTAATATGCAAAGTTAACGTATGTGATACTTTTGATATTATAGTTAATAAATAGTAATTTACTCACATTACATTCCTTAAATCACAAAAAATATTTTTAAAAAATAATTACATTATCTTCCACACCCCGTCCCTTATACTTTACATAAAATTGGTTGCAAATTGTGCGGAAATAAAATTGTAATATTGCTTTCTATTGATCATATAAAAATTACGTAGATTCATGAGAATGTTCCTGAAATATTTTCCGACACAAATTGAAAATCATTTCAGAAAAAAAGCTAACTTGCGGTTTTGTGGTATTTATTTCGTCAAAGAGTTTTACATACTCAATGCATTTATTCTTGATTATCCATTATTTAAACTTAAATATAAATACAAAATATTACGAAGCTCAAATATGATGATATAATTAAATATTTAATGTAGAAAGATCGATAACAATAAGAAAACCAAATTTTAAAGTCTTTTTAAATTTTACTGCATCAATTGAGAAATTGTAATGAAATGAAAATAAAAAATAAAGTCTAAGAAATTTACAAAAACAAGTGAGATGAATTTGATAAATATCAAAAGTAATTTGAATTGAGAAATTTCGTCAGTTGGAAAGTTGATTAAAAAAAATTTAATTTATAACGCATCGAAGTGAGACGAAATTTATGTTAAATAAACTTTTAAAAAACTAAATTATAATCAAGTACCTTTAAATTGTCGTGTTTACACGTAAAATATGAAGAAAATCTTGGCAGATAAATTATTTTGAACCGAAAACTTATGTTTTGGTAATGTCCATAGGACAACTGCCCATAGGATTTGCTTGTGCGGTGGGCATTGATGGACCCCCTGGGCTCACTAGAGTTGGCGGAATTGCCGGCTTGACAAATCTATCTGTTGCACGTCTATTAGATGATCCCAGAACGTGACCCTTTTGAAAATGGAAAATTAAGTTTAAAATTCACAGTGATTAGTAGTAAATTTAATTTTATATACAACTTACTCCTTGCGGAGGTGAACTTCCACCAAATGACATATTAGTTGGCTGTCCGCAAGCATAACAACGATTAGCATTCAAGTTCTCACGATATGTGGAACCAACCAAAAGAGTTCCTGTAGAATTAAAATTTACATAATACAATGGATACTTAAAGTTAGTTAATTTAATTAATTACCAGGACTTAATGGTCTTGAACAGCTGGGTGAAGGATTATATGGTACTGGGCTAGATACAGCTCTTGCTCTATTACCTCCACCTACTATGCTGTGCACTGATTCATTGTAATGACGTTCTTCTTCCATTTCCAAGCTATAAAATAAAATAATTCAGTGAAAATTGCATACTTTAAATTGACTGAAAACTCTTATTATGATCTGCATTTTACCTAGATTCAGACTCCGATAAATGCCTGCACAGAGCTTCACGTCTTTCCACTTCAAGTTGCAGTTTCCTTTGAAGTCTAATATTTTCCTCACGAACGTGTTTTTCTTCATTAACGTATCTTTGCATTTTTTCAGTATCTGAAAGTAAAAATTAAAAATTAAAAATTGAATCAAAATTTAGAATTAAGGTGATATTAATACATACGCTCTTGTTGTGACATTAAAAGCGTGTGTCTCAATCTGGCGACTTCACTTCTCAAGTGTTGAATATGTGAAGTAAGATTAGTTGCAGTGTCTCCATTATTCAAGTCTCTAGGTGAAGTAGGGTCCGATACAGGCTGATCTAATTTAATTTGAAGAGATCTTTTTTCAGCTTCAAGCTTATCCATTCGCTTCCATAATTTGTTGACTAAGGCCTCTTGTTCTTGCTCAAGTGTATTTTCCAATTCAACTTTTTCTCTTCTCAACTGTTCCAAATTTGATTGTTTTGCTAATGTTTCAGCCTCTAATTTTTCAATTTTCCTCATCAATTTGTTGACCAAACATTCCTGTTCCTGCTCCAAAGTTTGTTCCAATCTGCATTTCTCTTGACGCAGCTGATTTAATTTTTTGGACAAGTCGTTTGTCAGGCACTCTTCTTCTTGCTCATAATGATGAGCCAGAGTTTCTTTTTCTTTCTTCAAAGCTTGAATTTTTTTCAGCAAAGTATTGCTGATGAATTCTTCTTCTTGTTCTGCTTTTGCTTGCTATGATCATAAAAAATAAAAAAAAGTCAATTTTATTTCAATGAATTGTTGCAGGCATTATTTGTTGATAAAAAGAAATGAATGAGTGTAAGAACAATGTTATGTTGAGTCATACTGCATCATTGTCATCAAATCCGATTTATTTAATAAACAATATTCTGTCATGTATGCTCATTATCAGAAAGAAAATTGATATTATTAATGAACAAAGTATTTAATCTGTATCATTGAAAAAAAGAAGCATTCACTGCATGATTGATGAAGTTGTAAAAATAAATAAATAAGACTCATCCATCCATGACAAATGAAAAAAAAAAACAACTAAATTCAAATTATTGAGGCAAAAAGTAAAACATTGAAATATTTCACGTTTGCAAAAAAAAATTGCGACAAGACGATAATCAAAAAGAAATGCCTCCGAACGAACGGATTTAAAGGTCTCGAGAGTCGATGATTATATACATGCAACAAAAACAAAACTCACGATGATAACGGAAGCTTGGCGGAGATTTTTGTTCTCCTCCTGGAGCGCCTTAACCCTGAGCTTGTAGGTCTCCAGCTCGACCTTGAGCACGCGATTGTGCTGCTGCAGGGACTCGATTCGCTTCTGGAGCTGCTCCCTGGTCACCGGCGACGGGGGCATCATAATCGGGCCCCCGTCGATCGAGCTCGAGTCACTTTCCGATGCGCTGTCCCGGTCGGCCATGGTACTCCAACTTTTTGTATACTATGTACCGTATACCGTATATGAGCTACTTACTCAACTGCTGCAAGGCTGTCTGTGCGAGGTGGTCTCTGGTCTCGCACGCAGGGCACACAGCGCAGCACACGTGCAAACAATAGGCCGGGGATTCGCGAGGCACAACAGCACAGGTAAAAAGCAAGTCGGAGCAATGTATGCTATATCGGTCGCGACGACTGAATTATTGTTGTTGTCGCGCGTTATGTCGACGGGGAATCGAGATCAAAGCCGGTACGACTCGCCTGGGAAAAAATGCTCCGTGTTTTTCGCTCTGCCGTCAATGATCGGAACTGGGCAAGTGTACTAACAAAACGAGACGGGGATCTAGGGAGAGTCGAGGGCGGCGGCGGCGACAGTAGCAGCAGCAGCAGTATTATATAGGCAGCAGCGGTGGCCTCGACGAGCGCGCCTGGAGCCAGATCAGCTGTTCGGCAAATTCGCAGTTTTCCCTTTATATATGTATATATAAAATTGATTGTAGCAGCGAGAGACGAGAGCGGGTTGGTCGGACGGGATGCCCGGTTAGCGCAACTGCAGTACAGCATTAACGCGCACGAAACCTTGAGCGCCCGTGAAGCGGCAGCATCATCCATGCCTATACATACAATACCTACGCGATATGAGTTTCGAAAAACTGCGAGGAAGGAAGGGGAAAGAGAGAGAGAGAGAGCAAGATGTGTTAGGCGCGTGCAGTTTTATTAAGCAAACATTTTATTTGCGACGAGTTGGGCGCGAAACTTTCGATGATAGAATTTCTTTGATTATAAAACGGTTTATTCCTTTGAATTAACATAGAAGTCTATTGGCTTTTTGACATATAAATCATTAATACTAACACAATTTTATAACTGTAAATGTAACATGATACTTAACATTATTAACAAATACTTCATGGTGACACAAAAGTAGAATAAATTTTTAACCGATTTTCGGACTAAAAATTTCAAAAGGTGCATTTTTGCCAGCAAACAGCATTAATAAATGTAGGTATTAAAAAATTATTACCATAAATATTGTACGCGTAATTTACACAAAATTAATTTTGATAGAAAAATTAAATGAATAAATGATGATTTTTTCATTTTACATTTGCGATGGCTTTGATTTTAGTAAATAAGTGATCGATATACGTTTTGTAATTAACTGGTTGAATAGACGCGATGGTAGCTTTTAATCTGTTTTCGTCCTGTAATTTTTGAAAAATTAATCAATTAAGATGCAATTCAATAGTAAGAAAGATATTCGATTCAATTTTTTACTCACGTTATAATTTTCCAATCTCATACGCAATTTAAAGACGTACGATTTGAATGCTGCTTGTCCAATTTTTTCCATGTATTCATCATTATTTTTTTCTTTCAATTCTCCCAATTCTTGCGCGCCAGCGTTCACCAACATTTCAGCTTCTTCGTTAAATGCAGTTGCCCATTGATTTCCAGACGAGTCGACCAAATTTGTCTATTTTAACAAATCAGTGAGGAAAATTATAAAAATGTTGAATTAGCCCTGAACGACGAATTTTGACGATACTTACGCTTGCCAATAATCGGTAGGTAAAGTTTGGATAATCTCTTTGACATTTTTCGCACTTGTACATTCCATTACTTTGATCAACAACTTTTTTCTTGCAACCTTCTGATGGGCAAGATTTGTAAAGCGCATTTTCAGCTTTAATTAAGTGCACAGTAGCTTTGGTAATAAACATATTTGGGCAATCTGGGTGCCCATATCTATTTTCTTGAGCTTCTTTGAATGTAGCCCAAGGACCATTCATGCTACCACCTCCAGTAGTTTTGGAAAGTGATCGCGATTCTTCAGAAGAACCAACAGATTTGAACCAGCCTCTCAATCTATGAAAAAAAAAATCATTCATTCAAAGTAATTGATCTTGAAGAAAGCATTACATATATTGATTACAATCATCAACTTTACTTGTGAGCTTGTGGCAGATCAGGATCAACTTGAAGCATAGATGAGCCAACCAATGATAAAGATTTACCTCCCATGAATTCACCAATTTTTGCTCCTTTAATGGCAATAACAGGATTCGAAGATCCATCAAAATCAACAGCTTGGTTTCCCCACAGCGTAACAGTTATCTGCAATTAGCCATCATTAAATTTATTTTATTCAAAAACTAAATTTTGCAGATCATCAAACTACAAACCATATCATTGTTTTCATCTACAATTCCAACATCTCTCTTTTTCAGTTCTCTTCCAGTGGTTTTGGCAGTGAAAGTTTGAACATCACTCACAGTTTTGGCAATGCCCAAAACATCTGAAGTAAGTAAAGTTAATGCGTAAAGTCAAAGTAAATATACCAATGTAAATATTTTACTATGCCAAGACTTACCAACTAATTCATCTTTTTGCTTGCTTTCAAGAGAACCAATGGTAGTAAAGTTAAATTGAATGGTAGGTATATCTTGTGATTCTTCATTACAAACAACTATTTCTGATTCTGGACCTAATGTCATTTCATAGTCATTCTTCAAATTATTGTATTGTTTATTTGCTGGTTTCAGTTGACAGCGAGAAATGTAATAAACTTTTCCTATTTCAATCATATCATAAAATTTATCACATTGATCTCGAAAACCAGTACATCTGATTTCACCAGATTCATCCACTAAATCCATGCTGAATAATTTTCCTTCTCCTCGAGAATTAGACCAAGTTCTTATTGGAGATTTGAAAGATACACGAGCTTTAATAACCCACCTAAAACCATCATGATTAGGCTATTAAATATCATATACACAATTTCTTGATTTTTATAATTCTTACCTATTTTGATAAGGACTGAGAGCATCTATGCATGTAGAAGCAATACCATTATTAATAGATTCATTTAAGGAGCTAGGTTTAGCAGCAGGTTTGGCAGCTGGTTTTGAGGCATTATTTTGAGGTGGAAGATTGGATGCATTGACAACTGGTGGTGCCGCACTGCTGTTTGCTGAAGCAGATTCTTCAGGTTTTGAAACATCTGAACTAACATTTCCTAATACTTTTCCTACCTCTGAACCAGGTTTAAGTACTTCAATGTTCAAAATTACCATCACTCGCCTTAAATAAGAGTTGGAAAATTATTAACATTTATTAATAACGAGAATTTTTAAAAGCTTGACAACACTTACTTCTGAGAGCCTCCATTGTTGACCATGCTGATGGCATACCGCTTAATTTGAACAATAGAATGTTCTGACAAGCTGTTGTTGGTGATAAGATGATTCAGCTGGGTTGCCAGCATGGTAAATGAATTAGACTTGACTCCATCAGAAACCAAAAGCCGGTATCTTTCACCACTTGATGAGCTACCTAGTTTTTTATGACCCTGAAGTACATACATTTTTTCAATTAAAAATTGTATGGAAAATGCGTGTTATTGCGCAAAAAGTGTCATCTTACCAATACTTGGAAGATCGGTTCATCGACTTCGTCACCGTTCATGATACGCTGTAAAAAGTAGTTTTACTGTCATAAGAAGTGTTTCCGAGTGTATTTACAATTGGATTTTTTTCAAAATATCAACTCTTAACAAATGTACACAACAAAAGATAACGCAAAACTAGTATAACCACAAATGAGACGGCGCATCAAAATACTCACGTCCAAAGCTCCTTCGGATAGTCTTGGCAGCATTTTTGATATTCGAGTCGAGCAAATGCACGATAACACGGAGTGTAGTTACAAAGAATCGAGTATCGAAAGGATTTTCTCTAAAAAAAAGTTCCAACGATTGGTGGAAAAATTCGCTGTGTCAAAGTTACAACTTGGTGCTGCCGAGTTCCCGCCAATGCAAACAGATGCGCGACCATTTGGCGGAACTGAGTCCTCTGAATTTCAGCCGTTTCTCCAGTTAGGCGTGCAATTGCACGACTAATTTATATTTTATATTGCGGTTTTTTTCGAATCGCCCATTGTGATTACGAAGGGATAATTTATATTTGTTCGAACTTTAAGAGTTTTTTTTCGATTTGCGCTTCATAATTGCAAACAAATAATTTTTATTTTATGTTCGAACATTAAGCGATTTTTTTCGATTTGCCCTTCGTAAATACAAACAAATAATTTATATTTTTTATAGCGGCTTTTTTCGAATCGCCCTTTGTAATTACAAACGGTTTTCGATGTTATGTAGACAAATGTAACTACATTCAGTTTTCGAATATTTTTATCACGAATTTCCAATGAAAATTCCCGTTCAAACTGAAAAGGAAATTATGACAAGCTTTTTTAAAATTATACTTTTGCCGGAGCACAAGTTCACAAGATAGAAATCTGAATGTAACTATAATTTTTGAATATTTTTATCACGAATGTTCAAGGTAAGTTCCTGCATAAACTAGGAATTACCCTAATGTAATTACAATCGGAAAAATCAAACATGAAAATAATTACGTCTGCATACATAGTATACGCTCAGGTCGTACAGCGCTGGTGTCTCCACGGGGCACCGTCATTTTTTGCCTCAAGACTTACTGTAAGTAACGCTGATTGTTTACAAGTTACAACTTGTCTGCACTTGTAGTGTCCCGTTGCCGCTAGATTATTTATCGAAAAATTCCAGGAAATCGACTTTAATTATTTTGTAACTCTGCAATCTTATTTGTCAAGGTACGTAGTAAGAGTGTTATTTTAGAAAAATTAATCGGTACTGATATGTCAGTGAGGGGAAAAGTTGTAATAACCTTTAAAGAGCAGCAGTAATTCAATGAGATTATGTGCTTTTTTCACATTTCAGATGAGTCGTAAAGAAGCTTTGTCACAATTCATTCAACAAATTCACGGACGCCCTGTGGTTGTCAAACTCAACAGTGGAGTTGACTACAGAGGTAAGATTGCTGTTCTCAAAGATTAAATGAGATATCATTCTAATGTTGAACATGTCTTGATTGTGTGAAATTCTTTATTTCAGGAGTTTTGGCATGTTTGGATGGATACATGAATATTGCTTTGGAACAAACCGAAGAGTATGTCAATGGTCAATTGAAAGATAAATATGGCGATGCCTTCATCAGAGGAAACAACGTCTTGTATATAAGTACACATAAGAGGAGGGCCAATTAAATGATTTCAATATGTCCATTGTATTATATTAGTAAAATACATTTATTTATATAATTTTATACCTCTAAATATCAACAAAACCACTAAATGCATTGAGCATTATTTTCAATAAAAATGTCGTCTACAACTATAAAAATTCTATGTTTCTATTGTAATGCATTTCTAACATTCTTAACTTTTATAAAAACTACAAGAATCTTCACACTAAGTCATTGTTTGTTTTTTTGTATAAAAATTTTCATGGAATTTGAGTTTGCTGAGAATCAGCGTGAGCCTGCTCCACCAGTGCTACCTCCTGAGCCATCAGTCTTTCGAACGCCTCATCATTGAATTGTTCTCTCATCTCTGCAGTTTGTCTTAAGTCACTTTCAGTCCTCATCAACGGTAAGGGCTCATCGTCTTCTGGATCCTCCTGGATGATCTCATTTGGCTGTATATCGTCAGAAGTTATCATACCGGTTCTGTACTTCTTGAGATGAACTTGCAAGTCCTTTTTGAAGCCAAGAGTCTCGCACTTGGCCAGAAAGTCATCGAAGTCGTACTTGGGGAACATCCTATAAGCCCAGTACTCGAGCCTCTTCATCACTCCGTCGAGATCTTCAGCCTCGTGTCCTTTACCCTTGAACTGAAAGCCCTCGTATAGTTTCTCGATCGTGTGAACCCCCTTGGGTCCTCTGAGCCTCTCCGAGTTCAAAACCATCATCTTCCTCGTGCCCTTCTTCTTGACGGGCACGGGTTGGGCGTCCTGGTTCTCGTCGGCCGCCGCCGCATCGTCGTCGCCGCCGTTGGCACTAACCTCACCTTCGGAACCTGCTGCGCCGTCGTCCTCCTCGTCCTGGTCGGCGGCCTCGTGACGGCGCACCAGATCGTCGTCGTCGGCGATGTCGGAAAGCTCCGCGTCGGACATGATGACAATTAATGAAAATCGAGTACTACAGACCGAAATGCGTGCGGAGTTGCGAACAATGAAGTCTATCTATGTGGAGAAACGAAGAAACACTGTTGGCACAGAAAAAGCCGTGCTGCACGGGACTCCCGCCAAATTCCGGGTAAATCAGCTGTCTCCTTTTGTCAGTTGAGTCTGCAGCAGTAACTTACTGGACGTATATAGACACTGTGCAGAGTATACAGTCTTTCTTCGTAAAATGTGTGAAAAAATATATTTATAACATCTCTCTCTCTCTTTTTTTCTATCTCTATACATAATAGCGGCTAATATGTACGTGCTCTACTCGATTCTACTTTTGATACTTCTTTGTTGTTGTTTGTTTTGATATAAAAGTTGCGATCGACGTTTTAATACTGCATCTCATTCGAAACTGGAGTCGCTGTCCTCCTTGTTGTTCTCCTCCTCGTCGGACACGGGCTCGTCCTTCTGCGAGTCGCTCTGGCTGTTCATGCGATTCAGAAAGGACACGAGCAGTCGCTTGTTGAGCTTGTCCGTCTGGGTGATCTCGCGAGCTGGAACATTGGTCACGGCTGGTGGCGAGGGCTGATCGTCTCGCTGCTGGACCACGACGACGACGCTCGTCGGGTCCTCGGGTACCTGGTTGACCTCCGCACTGTTGTTCTGCTGCTCGGTGGTCGGTGTTCCCGGCATCGTTTTTTGTTTATTTTGCTTTGTTTATTCACGAATATCACACAACAACGACAACTGCACCGTCGTCAATTTTTTTTTGTCGTGGCGCGCGCGACTTGCAGATCGTTGCCGTTGATTTGGTAACTGGAGTCGCGAGGGGTTATGTACGCAGTTGACGTATTATTTGGTGTCTGTTATTGTTATTGGATGCGGTTGCGGGGTCTGTCGCGAGAGGGCGCTATGCGGCGCCTCCACGAGCGTGGCGCGACTATTCGTATGTATGCAATCTCGTATGCTCAAATATGCAAGCTCGGCGCGAATCTTATTATCGTCGCCGTCGTCGCCGCCGCGAGCACAAGTGCACAGATAAGGAGGAATTAGCTGCAAAATCCGCGAGAGATAAAGAGTCGATCGGATCATCGGTTTTTGATCGATATGTGTGTGTAAAAAAAGTCATAGGTCATGCTCTCCTCGACACATACGGCGACGATGATGGGACACGTGGAGAAAAAAAACGTCGATCGATATTATGATTTTGTAATCTTGACAACTCGCCGAGGGCATGTGATGATAAGAAGCTGAGCAGCTGCGACGGAGTAATTCGCGCGAGTCATCTTGACGATTTTGATTTCAAGCTCGATACACGATTATTATTGCAAAGACTAATAGGCCCAATTAATGACCGAATTGTTGTTTTTCAACGTTTGAAAAACTAGGAAAAATGAATGATTGCGATTCAGAAAAAAACTAAATAGATCATTGCGTAGCTAATTAAATGTTAAACCAATTGAAATCACAGGAAAATTATTTTGGCATCGTTAATGTTATTATAACCGTTCATCAAGTGGTCATTAACTGGGTAGTTTACCCTAGTATAATTGATGTGAGCTCGATACACAATTATTATTAAAAAGACCAATATAATTGATATCGCGCGATGATTGCAGCACATTATTGTACTCCAGATCTCGATGTTTGCGCTCGGATCGCTTTTGTTTCTTGTTTCTTCTTCTTCAATTCCATTGTCGCGCGTCGCTCGAGATAACAACGTAGGGCTGTTGATACACTAACGTTCGATTGCGTACATACATGCATGTTATGTACCTGCTGTATATTACCTGCATCGCGAGCAACTCCAAGTGCGACCGATAATGAAACGTGACGAATCACTTTTCTCTCTCTCTCTCTCTCTCTCTCTCTCTCTCTCTCTCTCTCTCTCTCTCCAGTAGCCGCGAAGAAACAAAAAACAATTGTTACTCGGCTCTAGCAACGTTTGAAATCTTTTCCTTTTTTGTTTTTACTATCGTTGCAAAGAAATTGTCAGTTTGGAATTATTTTAAATATATTTTCAGAGTTTTGCGCGCTCGACCTTGCGAATAAGAAGAATAAAAAAAAAGATGTAAGTAAGCCTCTCGAGTTCCGCAAGTCTGCTTTGTCATCGCGGAATACTAGAAAATAACGACAAAAATCAAAAAAAAAAAAAACTGCAATCACGAATACGCGATCGCATACGACAAAGTCGCTACTGCATGGCACCCGCGCTAAATAATATACAATAAGAGCGAGTAGTACAGGTGCCGCAGCCGCGTGGCCGTAATCGAAGTCGTAATTTAAGAAGTTCCTTCTGCACGTTCATACACTTGTGCGCAAAAATTGCACCGACTCATCATATGAAAAAAACTTCATCATCGTTATAAAATGATCGACAAAGATTTGTGTATTTTGTACGCGGCCCGTTACGTACAGCGCGGGTGTTCGAGCACTTGTATGATACAACAGGTAGAAAATCTTCAAAGTCGCGTGTGTAAATCGTCTATGATGAAATGTCTATGACGAATGACGATGATGATCAGCCACTTACGTTACTACACTATAAGTAGCACGAATTCGGTGAAACTCCGAACTACGATCTGTATATACCATAGTAGCCCCGGAAGAATTTCAGGAATTTCGATGCAATCCCAGCGGTAAATATACATATAGCAATAGTCGCGTGAAATACACATACGCGCACACATCAATGGGAATGACGTACATATGGGTATAGTTTATAATATAGTATAGGAGTGGTGGCAGGCGCAGCATGAGCAGTACAAGTGGCGTGAGCAGCAGCACAGGATGGCTCGAGCGGTAAAAAGCCGGCGTTTGGTGCTGTGCTTATAGTTCCGGGCTCGATCTCGTTACATTACAGGCGGATGAGATATATAATATGAATACAAGAGCGACGTCGTCACCATGAAGATCCGCTACAACACGTACAAAATCGTATTATCATAAAAAAAACACGGCACAACCGATGGTGGAGGCTGTAATGTTTTGATGCTCCGAAGTTACGTATTCTATATCTAACATCGCATGTGGCGTTAAGATATAGGTATGCTGCTGTAGCAGACTCAACTCTGTGTTGTATATTAGCACTGCGAGTCGAGCCACCACAACACCGCCTGTTTCTCTCTCTCTTTGGCGCGCGCCTCGAATACAACGCACACTAACATATATATCGGAAGGCATGGCTGGCAGGCAGCAGCAAGTGAAAAGCCGAAGCGAGCGGTTACTGTAACAGTCGCGACTCGCCGCTCGCAGCACGCAGTACACCTTGTCTTGTACGAGCGCTTTTCGAAGCTCGCTCGCTACTTATCTTTCTCTCTGTCGTGCGCGCGTTGCACAGTCGAGTCCTTTTTCACACTTGACTCGCTGCCGTCTGCTGCTGCTGTTGCTTGATCTTGGCCGCTTTTTTGTTATTTACCATTGTCACGGTCGCGCGATTCTCGTCCGAAAGTCGCTCTCCCACGGTGTGCATCGGCTCCGTTATTATTTGTATTGAGTTTGAACCCTAGGAAGTTTTTTACGACTGCTGTTTCTGTTGCCGCTGGACTCCGGATAATACAACCGCTGCAACAGGTGAGTCTTTGATTTGGCTCTCTAATTCTAATTCTACGTATATACAAGTACATCGCGACACGTCAGGTTATAATATGATGATACACGGTGTACATCCGAGGATGTCTCTCGGCCACATGGCTTCTTACGACACACACGCTACGTGTGTCGCGCTGGCATCATCGTCCGCATGCAACTTACATGGCAAAAATTTCATACTCGATTGAATGACTAATAGCGGCGCGACGACGACGACGCCAATGTGTATGTACGTATGGGGTTATTTTAGCACGCCCGGCGCGGAAGTTGCACATGCATGTGTGTATATATAAGTGCGTTATAACCCCGTAGAAGGGAAGCAGCGAATCCGTATATAAACACACACGCGTTTCTCGCGCGCACACCTCCTCCTCCTCCTTCTCTTTTATACACTCTTTCTCTCCTCCAGCTCTCTCTCTCTCTCTGTCTTTCTTTTTTGGAGTTTCAACTTTCATTCATTGCTCTCACATACGGCTCTCGTATAAGGCGCGCGTGTGTGTATATAGTAGCGAGTACGATCGTTCGAAAGCGCATCGCTCCTCGAGTCCACAAACTTTCCAGTGATACTTGTGCAACTCGTATAATGAAATAAAATAAACACACATTTTTCTGCCTTCGGCTTATCGATTATAATATTTTATATTATTATATTGCTCCTTATCGAGAGAGTCGATGCACGCAGATAATTCGCTTTGCATGTCCCGCGTGACGCGCGCGATCGTCGCTGATGTGGATTATCTCTTTGGCCGTGGTTTATAATGCACTCGATTTAATTATTTTTTTTGTCACTCGTGTACGTACTTATACACACGTATCGAGAAAATTTTTTTTCGCGTTATATTGCGCTCGGCGCGATCGTACGATCGCTCGAGCGGGATCGCGCGAGCTACTAGATAATAACATGCAATCGCGATCGCAGTGCGCGTAGCACTCGAAGTAAAATAATAAAAAAATGCTCCGTCGCGACTTGTTTTGCTCAGTTTTTTGTTATTTATTTAATTTTGTGCATGCCGCTACTGGGCTTTCTTTATTCGTCGGTCAAACGTATGATCCAAATGCGTCGATAGAAAATAAAAGAAAAGAATAAAGAGTCACGCGAGGGGAAAGGGTAGAGAAGAAGAAGAAGAGAAGAGAAAATCGTTGGGCGCCTAGCGGTCGATGGATAAAAGGGAAAGAAAATCGTTAAGCATGTGCAGCGCACACACTCGGCTAAATTTAGACAAATTACTATATATAATACACGTACGTTTGTTCGCGAACGAGAGAGAGACGAGTGCAGTCGAGAACGACCACGACTTTGTCTTTATATCGCAATTAGCCAACCCCGGTACATAATGTCTCTATAATATTATAATCCAAACAAGTCGATTCTTTGCGGTGTATCCCCATCGTGCGAATGTCATCGTGTCTTTTATGCTTCGACGAATGCATTCGACTCCGTAATAATATAATGCCATTCGGCATGCAAAAAAAGACGACGACGACTCCGATCGAAAGCCGCGCGCGGAAGTCTCTCTCGGACTTTGTATATACGTGCACATATTTGCAGCTACATAATGCGACGGCGAAAGATTGTTGACTCGCGCGTTTTATATATATACCTTATACACATCGCGACGGCGCCGACGACGACTGCTCAGGTGGCCGTGTGCGCCTCGCGCGTCATGCGCGCGTGTAACAGTTTATACTACCTCGCGATCGTCTCTTTTCTCTTTTTCTCTCTTCGCGCTACTACTGTACTATATACACTGCAAAACACCCATGCACTTGCCCCACTAACACGCTTATCACACATCGTGCCCGTGGCGCGCGCGCCCGAGCGGCTATGCTGCACTTCTCGTCGTTGCTCACACGAGTATACACACATGTTTTTTTTTTTTTTTTTCACGGCTTCGACGATGCTCGTGTGCATCGCGTGTGCGCGCAATTACACGCTGGATACGCGGCCTAAGTAACGCGAAAATTTCAAATCCGTGCTGCTCTTTTTTTCCTCTCTTCTACTCTTACGTAAAAAAACAACCTGACTATATGGCTCTGCCTCTCTCTCTCTCGGATCGTCACCCGCACCGATCGGCGGGGCTCCATCTTTTCCAATTTTTCATACAATTATACTCCGGAATAATACACGATTGTACGAACCGGATAAAACAGAAGTAACTATATAACGATAAATCACGTTTTTTATGTGTATATTTTCCGTCCAGGAAAATCTGACGTCTCGTCGTATCTCGTTGTTTTTTTCGCCGATTTTAGTAGATATATTAAAAAAAACCAAAGCCCCGCAGTCGTCGATATATGCTCGTGCATTGCATCTCAGATATAAAGTAGACAGACGTCCGATTAAATAACGCGATGACATAGCGGATTTTCTCACGCTAGTCTCTCTCTCTCTCTCTCTGTATATGAGCGCGTATGTATGTTAATTATCGCGTGATTTCGTATGTAATTTTCTCGGCTATTTTTCTTTTTTTGTTCTTTTTGTTATTTATTAAAATGTCTCTAAAAATACGTTTTTCAGTGGTAGTATAGAGTCGGTGGTCTAGGCTCGATCGACGTCGTCTCGCGCTCGAGCTCGACGTTACGTAAAGGCTATATACACCGACACACGCGCACACACACATTGTATCGGTTAATTCAAATCCGCGACGACGACGACGCAATCGGAATAAGGTTTCGGGGGACTCTGTGTACGCGGCTGAAATTCATTAATTCGCGCATGTTTACATATTTGCTTTTTCTTTTTTTTTTCTTTCTCACATAATCTCATGTGTGTGCGCGACGGTATCATCACACATCATTAATTAATTATATACCGTCCTCTTTGCTCATAATCTCTTTGCTTGACGGTGGTGGCGGCTCGCATTAAAACACTATGTACTATACTATATATATTTATAGTTCAATTGCGATAACGAGTCGATGCGCTCAAGTATAAAAACGATCCCCAAGGAGATACGCAAATTTTTATACGAGTCACGCGATAATATCGCCTCGTACAAGTTTTTCGCAACGAACGAACGAGCGAAATCTGCCGCTTAAAATACCATACGCATCGATCCTCCTCGCAGGTATTATAATGCAAAGCAAAAGTTTACTCGAGTGCAGCTAGCTTCGAGCAACGCACGGCGCTTGTATGGCATAGGTTGACTGGGATAGAGAAGTTGGGCTATTTATAAAGGAGCGCACCACTGCACCGCTTTGATACACGGAGAGAGAGAGAGAACTGCTGTTGCTGCTGCTGCAAGCGGGCGCGAAATAAAGAGAAAAAGAAAGAAAGAAAAAATTGTCGTTGGCAAATCGACTAGTATACACATCATCGTGAGGCCGACTACATAAGAACGCAATATCGCAGGTGCGCGGCAGATATCGTGGTATAGCAGCAGTAGTAGTGGTTGCTGGAAAATTTTACTGTTGCCGCTACTTTTGCGCTTACTAATGCGAAACAAGCAGTCGCATATGCACGCACACACACGCATTCGTGGAAATCCTAGCGCGAGCAGCAGTAGTAGTAGTGGCTACGACGAATCACATTTTTATTCATGCGGATATTTTTTCCTGCTGGATTCTTTTGTTTTTTACGAGCAGTACGTATACGCAAAAAGAAAATTATCATTCTAACGATTTCGAGCAACAACAAAAAAAGAGAGAGAGAAAATTTATACGCGAGACAAAGAAAATTCATGTATTCAAAAAATAATCGATGATTTTCAGTCAAGCGCCGTGACTTTTGACTCGGGCTTGCATCTCTAATGCGTGCATTCAACGGAGAGACAGGTGCCGCCGAACTCGCGCGATTCAAAGTTCCCGCGCGAAAATTGCCGAGGGTCGTCGTCGTCGCATGTCGCGAAGGGCGCGCGCAGACCAGCCGCCTGTGCAAGTGCAATTCGAACGTCCCGCCGAAAGTGGCCTGATGTGCGCCCCGCTATCGATTCGGGACGCGTCCGAGGGGTAGAGGCGTTGTACCTGGACGGGGGTGGGGGTGACCGCTGGGGTGAATCAGGCCGCGCACTATAACTGTATCTCGACGAACTCGGGCTCCCTTCCTCGAGACCGTACTCGAAGTCTCTCTACTACCCCTGCATCTCGTACGATACGAGGGCCGCGCCAGTAATACTACGTCACGCGCACAGACACATGTAGGTAGATGTATAACGTCCTTATAGGGCGGCTCTGCGACTGTCTGTGCGTGTGTGTGTGTGTGTGTGTGTGCACACGACCCCTCTCGCACTCGCCACCGACTCCGTAGTACACGATATACTACTCGTCGAGGATTTCATCGAGAATCTGTACCGCATATAATAATTAGTCCATCGAATCGCCTGCTGCTGCTGTGCGTTTGTAAAATACGTTCGCCCGCGCGTGTATCGATATAATGTAACGCTGCTGCACGGGAACCTTGAAAAAAAAACAGGAGAGAGAAGAAAACGCGAAAGAGAGAAGTGCACGCAAAAACGAGAACGCGTGCGGACGTATAGTAGCATACATATAGTTGTTAATAGTAGTGCAGCAGCAGCAGCAGCAGCCTAGGCGTGTGTCGTGTCGTTATATACGCGCTCGAGTTCGAGCCGAGTAAAAGGATAAACTCGTTGTAATCCTCCGCAATCGTGACCCAGACGGCTTTAAAAGAGGAGCCTAGGGAAGTAGTGCGCGTTGGTGTGTGTTGTTGAATTGCGTGACGCCCGCGCGAGGGTGGTGAACGACGACGATGCTGGGCTACGTTTACAAGATAATACGCAGCATTTGGAATCATGGCAGTCTCGAGGACTTTGGCACTGCTCAAGGTATAACAGCATAGCATGCATAATCGTACGCACATACACACCAGCAGCGCGTGCAGCTCGCGTGGCGTAAGTAGGTAGCCCGACTGCACGCAAAACACGTGTGCGAGGATAGACAGAGATATAGTGCTGTAAAAAACAAGCACGAAATCTTATATTAACGCAGCTTTTAGGGAGGGTGACGATGAGGGCACCGATATAATGACATATAATATGCCGAACACCATATTTTCTACTAACTGGGCGGTGTGACGCATATCGCTCGATAATCGTGTGCATGGCACGAATGTACGTATGTATAGTGGCGGCGTTGACAGTCGTCGTCGTCGTCGTCGTCGTCGTAGGCCTCCATCCCCTCAAATTTCTTTTCGACCCCTTTTTTTCATTTCAATTATCTTGGGTCGCTACCTTATATTACATTATCGCCCCCACCACCTGTGTGTATATGTCATTCTCTTTTTTGGAATTTCTATCTAAATATCAAGAGACCGTCGTTCGCAGCCCGACGTGACTCAATCCGCGTGCGCTTGCATTACGAATTACGTATACGAGGACAAGGATTTTTGTTTAGCTGCGTGTTGACGTTTGGGGCATACCAATGAAGGGGCCTCAATGAACCGATTCTTATCTCTCTTTTTTCTTCCAGATATGGCCGCGGTGCAACCTCTCCTCGTCAACGGCGTGCAGACCAATGGATTCGGCAACGGCGGCGCCAGAGATAAAGTACGATTCTTGCTTCGCTTAGATTTTTGCTTTTGCGCTTTTATCGTTTTAACCGCATTGATGGTTTTGCGTTCGTCTTTGTTACAGGCCATCGTCAATAATCGGACGACTCCGAGATACGCAGTCGCCAGCGCGACCGGCTTAGACGGTGAGTTATTATTTTTTTTTTGACGTTTCTATTAATAAAATCTTGAAAGAGAAGCCATATGCGTATACGCAATGCAAGAGATAGTGCGTAATAATAAATTACACACGCGTCTTGTGACATATCGTTCTCGCGAATTATTATCATCATCGTTACGATTCGATAATAATTTTTATTTATACACCGCTACTCTTACACAGGTCCCGACCAAATCCTCAGCTCGGATGTCGACACGACGTGCGAGGCCAGCGGCCGAGTCCGCCTCAAGCTCGACGGCAGCATCGACCAAGACGACTTCAAGCCGATCTCGGTGCCGGGCCTGCTCGCTCGCACGGCCGCCCGCCACCCCGACCATCCGGCACTGGTGTCGCGGCCCGACGCCACGGGCAAGCGCACCACCTACACCTACCGCGAGTACGAGCAGCAGGTGAGGCAGGTGGCCAAGGCCTTCCTGCATCTGGGCCTGGAGCGCCACCACAGCGTCTGCATACTGGGCTTCAACACGCCCCAGTGGTTCATCTCGGACATCGCGGCGATCTACGCGGGCGGCTTCGCCGCCGGCATCTACACGACCAACTCGCCCGAGGCCTGCCAGTACTGCGCCGAGAGCAGCCGCGCCAACATCATCGTCGTCGAAGACGACAAGCAGCTGCAGAAGATACTGCAGATCAGGGCGCAGCTGCCCAAGCTCAAGGCCATCGTCCAGTTCGAGGGTGTGCCCCAGCACAAGGACGTGCTCAGCGTGAGTATTTCGTCTATATATAAACGTATTCCAGCCAGAGCTCCGATATTTTTTACTCAACGAATTTGTGCAATTTTTTTTGCAGTGGGAGGATCTACTGGAATTGGGCAGGCAACAGTCCGAAGACAAGTTGGAAGCCGTACTGAAGACGATCGGCGTCAACGAGTGCTGCACTCTAGTCTACACGGTGAGTTTCTCAAATGCAACATCTATTAATCAATGAAACTAACTAATTCCATTGAAATTTAGTCGGGAACCGTGGGCAATCCCAAAGCCGTGATGATCAGCCACGACAACGTTCTGACCAACGCCAAGGCCATACTGTCGGGCATCGATCTCAAGGAGGGCCGCGAGACGGCCATCAGTTATCTGCCGCTGTCGCACGTGGCGGCGCAGGTCGTCGACATATTCACGTGCATGCTCATGGCCGGCACCGTGCACTTCGCCGACAAGAACGCCCTCAAGGGCAGTCTGCTGGACACTCTGGTGTCGGCGAGACCCACCGCCTTCCTCGGAGTGCCGCGCGTCTGGGAGAAGATCTACGAGAAGATGCAGGCGGTGGCGCGCAGCAACGGCCCCATCAAGACCTGGATCGCCAACTGGGCCAAGGCCCAGGGTCTGCACTACAACCAGCAGCGCATGAACGGCGTCGACTACAAGTCCTGGGGCTATCTCATCGCCAAGTGGCTGGTCTTCGACAAGGTCAAGGCGGCCCTGGGCCTGGACAGGTGCCACCTGTTCGGCACGGCGGCGGCGCCGCTCAGCACCGAGGTCAAGAAGTACTTCATGAGCCTGGACATCGTCATCGTCGACGTCTACGGCATGTCCGAGTGCGCCGGCGCCCACACCCTCTGCAGCATCGACAACTTCCGGCTGGGCAGCGTGGGCCACGCCCTGCCCGGCTTCACGACCAAGCTCGACAACATGGACAGCCAGGGCGAGGGCGAGATATGCATGGCCGGCCGCCACGTGTTCATGGGCTACCTCAACGATCCGGAGAAGACGCGCGAGGCCAAGGACGAGAACAACTGGCTGCACACCGGCGATCTCGGCAAGATGGACGAGAAGAACTTGCTGTACGTCACCGGCAGGATCAAGGAGCTGGTGATCACCGCCGGCGGCGAGAACATAGCGCCGGTGCACATCGAGCAGCTGGTGAAAAAGGAGTGTCCCGCGCTGAGCAACGCCATGCTCATCGGAGACCGAAGAAAGTACCTGACCATGTTGGTGACGTTAAAGGTAAAGGATGACGAGTGTGAGCGCGACGATTATTGAGCCGAGCTTTTCAACGATATTTTTTCTTGTGTTTTTATTCAGACTGAAATGGACATCGAAAGCGGCGAACCACTGGACAAACTCTTGCCCGAAGTGCAGAAATGGGCAAAATCATTGGGTAGCCAAGCCAAAACTGTCTCCGAAGTTATAAAGACCCAAGACCCATTGGTGAGTTGCGTGAAAAAGAATGAAACTCACGAGTGAAACGAGGCATTTCATCTTATCTGAAATATACAAACGTTTTTTTTCACAGATACACAAAGCGATAACGGAGGCGATCACGCGGGCGAACGAGAAGGCGATAAGCAACGCGCAACGAGTTCAAAAGTTCCGCATACTACCCCATGACTTTTCCGTGCCAACCGGAGAACTGGGACCGACGTTGAAGCTCAAGCGCAACGTCGTCCTCAAGATGTACGCCAATGTGATAGAGGAGATGTACCAGGAGAAGAGTACTGCCTAAAACTCTGTAGCGAGCGACTTCTTCTTCTTCTTAGTCGCGTCGCGGCTTGTAGTAGTCAAATCTTTGTTGTTGTTGGTTGTTGAGAGAGGATTTTTAACTAATTCATCGAGCGCAGTCGCCGATTTGTGCGCTGCTTAATTGTATAGGGTATAAAGTGAGAGAGACTTGTTTCCTGTAGTCCAGGCTATAACAAAGACAAAAAAAGGTGGTCTTCTAATTGTGCGATAAAAACTATTTTTTACCGAGATAAAAGAGACACGCCGCACGCGTCGCGCACCGAACTATGTATCAGCCTGAGAAGATGAAATAACTATAATGATTATTTACATCAAATGTATAAGCAAAACTTTTAATTGTAATAGTTACCTTCGTCGCGGTGAACGTACATATTGCACGAAAAAAATTTATCGATCGGTGTTTTTCTACTAATTATAAAAAGTATTTAGACAATGTGGCAATTTGTAAAAAAAGAAATAATCACAATTAATCGGATTATTTGAATTTCTTGATTTTTTGTTTTCAAAAATCAACCAGCTAGGCATTTGATAATAATTTATCAAAAAGAAAGCCAAGTTTTCGTTAGTTATTTTCAGTTTCTACTTTAACTGAGCATTTAATTTTCTATCGCAGAATTAGTTCTGTAGAAAGCTTTTAAAAGAAATTGTTGTAATTATCGTTGTATATTTCTATATTTATTAAAATTTAATCACACCTTTAACGCACTAATTTTGCAATGTATGTTTTGGTGTTTATAAGGAATAATTATGACGATGTTAGTGTACATATTGTGAATAAAAATAATCAAAGTGCCTTTTTACAAATGTTATAATAGCGCGAGTGAAAGAACTTTGACACGTTCAGTTTTTTTAAAAATATAATACTTATGATTAATGATCATAATATAGATTCTTTTTTACTTCAGGTGTATGTTACATTTAAATTATACAATTTATCCAAATAATATTGCAAATAATATCTGAAGAATGGTAATAAAACAAGCTTTTTAAGCAGTTTATTGTAAAATATTTTAAGACTGATTGTCTTAATTGGTTAATAAAATTATAATTAGAACGTGCATAATAAATAGTCATGTAAGATAGTTTGCGGATATTGATTATTTTCTCTTTTCCTAGAGATACTATTTAGTTAGTAACCAAATTTACATTCACTATTAAATAAATTAATTGATAAAATTAAAGGTGCAAAGTTGATAGAGTGTACTTAGTTATACAAAATATATTAATAAAACTTCAGTTCGTCAGTCTTAATTGTCATTAGTATTTTTTTTTAACATTACTAAACAACGGATTAAGATGGATTATTTTCGCTGTATTTTTTCTTATACTTTGATCTCGTTAAATAAAATACATAATTATTTACAAAACATGGGTCATTATTTCAGGAGTTTCTCAGAGTTGTTGGTAAGGTTGAGAAAAATAACAAATCAATTATTTGAACATAAGTGTATTACTAAGTGTAGTTTACAATAACCAAATGTGATTCATTTTATAATTACTTAATACTTGAAATTGATATTTTACAGTATGAATTCCTTATATGAAAATAGATTCCCTAAGCACATCACAGAAATTTTTAAAAAATGCACATGTAATAATCTTGTACAGCATTAGTAACAGTGTTATGAGTTACAAATTCGTAACATATTTCAGTGGCTGATCTTTGACATTTTCAACTATTATTTTGAAATTTATTCTCACAATTTGATTGCTTTTTAAAGGCTAACATGTAATAAACTAACACTTACTCAGTTTTAATATTTTTGTTTGTTCCCTGTTATAACACAAGTTCATTTATGATTTATGTTTAAATGCTTATAACCAAGCACTGGTAGTTTTAAAAATCTACATTCTAATTTCAAAGATTTTTGATCGTTATTTAAAATAGACAAATAAAAAGAAACTTTTTGCAAGCTGAAGTTGTACTTAGAAAAGAATTATTAACTAGAAAACTTTATAATGTCTACTATCAGAAGGTAAATTATTGGGAATCAACAAAGCACATCACATTTAACTTGATTCTCACAACAGGCACCCAGACTATAACGATTTGGACGTGTTTTCTGTTTGAACAATGCATGCACACACACCATCCAATGGCACAAAAAATTCAAACATAATGCTTATGAGGTACTCGTTGATGTATTAAATTTTTGTTGAATGATGGAAGTTTTACGCTGTGGCACAGTTTCAGGTGTTGGTATGGCATCACCAGTTGGCAGAACTCCAGTTGGCTTGGGTTTCGCCGCTTGTTTTTGTTTAGCCATTTGATAATCTCCAGAATCAAAAAATTTTTGCTAAAGAAAAATAGAAAAGAAGCAAATTATCAACTCATCCTAATCGCAGAGCTTGATTTGCATATTCAGTTTGCAAGCTATTGCATAGTCATGTGACATCGGCGTACGCTAGATGCACAATTATATCATTAGCACTAGCGCAAGCTCTCAGAAAATCAACTTACTCCTTTCGCTAGCCTTTTCTGTAGAAAAGCAGAGTGCCCACTGATGGGTCGACCAGCAACAGCAGGAAATTTAGCTTTCAACTTTGCTTCCTCCAATTTTTCAAGGTCATTGGCCGAGAGCTGAAAAGAATTAAATAGAATGTAAACAATGAGCAATGCGCAGAGGATCAATCAATGCATGAACGACGAACGAACGAACGTACCTCGGCTTGAGGAGGAGGCATCTCTTGATTTTGTTCACTCATTGTGATCAGGACTTCTCGTTAAAGACTTTCGGTGGAGAGGAAAGTGGTGTTAACTCTTGGGGATGATCCTGCCCAAAGATAAAACAGTCACTCGCTCGTATGTACGCAGAGAAAGAGTGTCAATGAAACGAGATGATCGTCGCCACTCGACGAATAAATAGATGTCTTTCTAATCGTTCTAGAACGAGGCACGATCAATCGAATTATTCCTCTCGGAGTTGTATCGTCGTCGTCGTCGTCGGCAACGGTCTCGTAGCTTTAACCTCAAAGTCCGTTGCGCGTTCAATATCAGCGAGAGAGGAGCACTACTATTTACACGACGCTGCTGCAATAAAGTGCTCTAGAGAGAGAAAGACCTATGTGTGTGACAGTGTGACACGGAGCTCTCTCTATTCTTCTGCGATTCAAATTCGATCGATAAAACGAGGCGACGTCGAGTAGTTGTACAATACACACACAGGAGTTTATATGCAACTCCGTCGAGTAAAAAAAAAGAAGAAAATATCTACGCGTAATAATTGTTCGAGTTGCAAGCAACGTTCGACAGCAATAAAGACGACGACTGCAAATGTAATTCGCACCGAGGCGTGAGCGTAAACTGTGCTATATAGATGCGCGGGGTATTATCCGAACCAACTGCCAAACGTGTGTGTATATATTGAGTATGTATACACAACAGTATACTGTATATAGAGCCATAGGCACATACAGTGTCGAAGAAAATCCCTATATTTCCTTGGCTCGGTGGATCTCGCGCCACCTAGTTTTGGCGCGAAACTTTGTCGATCGCGCGCGCACGCCAGAAGAAGAGTATACCTAGAACGCGAGTAAGTCTGCGAGTGCTAGCAGCGTCCAGGCGCAGATACGTGTTCATCTCGGACACACGTAGTATGAAATATGAATCGTTATATTTCGTGTTCGTACTTGCACGATTCGATGTGGCCCTCGCTTGCAGCTGTTCTTTCTTTTCATGTATTATTATTTCACACGCGGGGCTGCCCTGCCGTGTCAACTTCGACTGCCTAAAATTTAAGAATTTGACAGTGGATAAATTTATGACTGTTTTTAATTTGAACGAGGACATTTTTTAAATTTATTTCTAAAGAGTACAATATTGCTAACGCACGAATTCGTATTTTTTTAATATTATTAAATGTAATAAACAGTAATCTCACGAATGAGATCTATTGCACAGTGTTTATTTAAAGTATATTTGAGAGAAAAAAATTATTTAATAAAAAATGTACAAATCTTTAAAATCAAAGACCTTGGTTCTATATATCAACATTAATTTTATAATGATGTAAATCACAGATAACACCACCAGTAGGATGATCCACTTTTTCAAAAATTTTTTGTATTTCGGGGGATCCATCGAAATCAGAAAGTTTGAGGTTTAAAATGAATTTTCCCGTAAACTAGAACTCAAAAAAATGATTTTAGATGGTGTCGTAATCTTGACAATACATTTTCTTACGTGTTTTTGTCTGCAGAATCGAATGCCGTAGTCAGTTATGATCTAGGAGCACAATTTCATTCAAAAAAATACACTTTTTCGATCGTTCTTTTTCGCAAATTCCGCAAAGTTCATTTTCGAGCGAGCGGCAAATGAACAGAAAAAATCTAGAAATATTTTTGACACCACCAAAATTTAGGATTTTTTATGACAAATCCAATGGTATATATGAGTATACACTTTAAAATTATTTTAATGCAGAAAAATACAACTTTATCCCAAAAAACGATATTAAAGAAATGAAAACATCAAAAAAAATATATTCGTTTCGTCAAGAAAATGGCCGAGTATAATCACTCATGAAAAAAATTGCATGCAATTATCTGATAGGTTTTTTTCTCACCTTTCCAACACCGTTTACCGATTTAAAAAATTCGCAAGATTCGCTGAGATACATCTGTTTTTGTAGGATGCATGTTTTTAGCTTAAATTCTGCTTCGCTGGTTTTTTAATGAAAAGAGTTAGCTCAGAATTATTGAATTTTTACGGGAAAATTCATTTTAAACCTGAAACTTTCTGATTCCGATGGATCCCCCGAGATACAATTTTTTTGGAAAAAGTGGACTGCCCTAACCACCAGGTATAATTAAAAAGTGTTGACCTCCATAATTGTAAATTTTACCTTTGGCGTAGGCTAAATTATAGTAATTTATGTAATGAATAAGGTTTCTGCCTCTTCAGGTGATAACTGCATTACCTTAGAGAGTGGGAGGGCCCGATTCTCGTCTCTTACCGTAATTTTGTTCAATTTTTTTCTAAAATGTTCGTAGCGCAAGTATTTTTTAAGATCCTCTGATTTCTCGAACATTTTGAACTTGTGGAAAAAATTTTTGATCGTCGAGACGTCATCTTCCTTCAGCTCGTATCGTTGCGACCACGTAGAGTGCTCTGCACTTATAGTAGGGTGGTTCGCATTGAAAAAATTTTCGAAATCGCTTTACGTCATGGCGAATTGGCGACTCTTAAAGTTTAAGTCTTTAAGAAAATAAAGTCGGGTTAAAAATCTCGGAAAATTATGGGGGAACCGGTATCGATAGCTTTTTGAAGTTTAAAAACGAGATCTTAAAAACTGAAACTATGAATGATGCCGAAAGAACGTGGTTAAATAACTAAAAGTTGCCAAAAAAGTATTGGACATAGTTAACACCTATACCTATTGTGAATGGTGTTTTTAAGGCTTTTTCAGTCTTGTTGTCAACCTCGAGTTTGTCGGGTTTACCCCTTGAAATAACAATTTTTTCATATTTGCAGAAAAAATGGTGTTTACTTCATTGAGAATCAGCTGAGGTAATTAATACATAGTTTAAAATCTTTTATTTCAAATTATTGTGAGCTTATCAATTAAAAATCGAAACTGATTTTTTAAAATTTATTTATTTGATTCATATAGAAAATTTACAACAGCGGATAACAATTCATAAATAAAGACTGAAAATACTCTCATCGACATCACGAACTGGGTCCTGCCGCAGCCAAAAGAATGTTGCATAAATCGTTGACTCTTAGCTGACCCAGGATCATTTCACAAATTTCAAGTGGCAGCCTCTTGTGAATTAACTCCCAGAAAGGGTCCAGTGCCCAACGACTGAAAAATCGTCGCGCTACTAGCTCGCACAGATGTGCTGCACAAGAAAAATCACTGATTTGTATGAGCCAATTAAAAAATTTTCCCGAGCACGCAAACTCCAAGTAGTTCTTATAGGTGACTCGTTTTTCCGCCTCTTCCGGGTGGTAATTGGACCAGATCGTAGAGCAACAGACTCGGAATTATCATAGTCTTTTTGGCTCTACTCGCAAACTCCTCGTCAACGTAAAAAGACTCTTCAAGATCCACCGATTCAAACGATTCGTGCCCATCCTTTTTGTCGAATGCCAACTTTTTTAGATAAGACCTTAGTACCTAAGTACATAGAGGTTTGTGAAAAATTCGTGCTGATTGTTCTTTGAGGGATTTGAAAATTGAAGTTTGATTAAATCTCGATCAAACTTCGGCTAGCCGTAACAATGAAGATACAAATCTTTTTACTTTTCAAGATAAATTATACAAAAACTCCCAAGGCTCATTATCTCAGACCATGAATTCACGACATTTATTATTCAAATTTTTACTTATTATTATTATAATACATTTTTCAATTTCGTGTTTTTTCAATATTCAAACTTCTATGTGATCCAAAAAAATTTTGAGATCTTGATGTATCCTAACTATAGTTGACAAAATGATGGTAAAAGTATAATCTTGTGTTGTGTAAAGTAAAATTCAAAAAAAACCTTCGACAGTCCCAAAAGTAAAATATGAATAATGAATATTATCGAATTCGAAAAATTGTCAATTTCAGAGCAAAAGGAGTTTTTCTCCAGCCGTGAGTACCTAGTGTTCAATTTTTTTTTTTTTGTCTTTTTCATCTTTTTTTTTTTGTATTTTTTTTTTCNCGAGTGTATGACAGAGTCAGAATGTTTTGTTAGTTAATAATATTATCGTTGCAAAAATAACGGTGATTGATAGTTGCATTCGTTTACATATAAAAGTTCAACATTTCGTTCGAATGTATACCAAATTTCAGCTTTTAATGTTTATAAACAAAGGCGTGGTGATTTTTTAAAAAAAAAAGCCTAACTTCGTTTCCAATATAGTTAAAGAGGTCAATTTTTTTTTAAAATTTGCGTAAAAATGCAAGGAACAAGATGCCGAAATTCGATTTGACTTACGACTTCTGGTTCGGCAGATAAGTCAATTTGTTTATAAGAATTTTCGTACACATTTATATCTGGTGTTTATTTTTCATGTCTTTATGAAAAAATTATTGTTTTTATTGTTGCAAATTGACTGGGAGGTCTCTACCTTTAATTTGCGCTGTGTCTGGTCTTCGTACGTTGAGCCAACTCAAAGTTATTTAACAATCACTAGGGGAGTGTTTTTTAATAAACAAATGCAATATCTCGATAAATAATGCACTTAGCGAGATTTTGAAAAATGCATTGGATTCTGCGTAACGAGGGCTACATTTTCTCAAGATTTCATTGCCGTAGCACGTTTTAATAAATAATTATAAACAATTGTAAAAACGGCCACTTTTAGAGGTTTTTTCGACCTAGAGAATAAACAAATGGACGAAAAAATATGAAAAAAATACCAGAATAAAGGTCTTGAAAATGCCTACAACTTTTGTTTGAAACATTTTATCGTAAAACTTATACTTTACGAGTTAAAAAATTTAATATGCTTTTTTGCATTTTTAAAGGCTTATAAACAAAAACGCAGGAACAAAAAACAGTGGCATTTTATGAAAATTAGTTGTTTAGGGTACCCAGAATAAGAATCCGTCGTAAAATTCTGGTTGCGAATTTTTTTTTTTCAAAACCTTTATTGATTGGACTATAATCTTTGTCCTGCTCTAGAATGAGCTAGAAAGCTTCAATCGAACTTTTGAACCGGTCAAAATTTATTAAAATTTGACAAGGAATCAAAAAAAATATTTTCAAATTTTTTTACCGGAAGCATCGGGTTCTAGGAACCGTTTTTTGTTAAAAAAAGCATTTTTCGGCCCTAGAAGCTATCGCCTTCAATTAAAAAATCTGAAAAAATTTGAGATAATGTATTTTGATGAGAAAAACAAGAAAAAATTTTTTTCAGATTTTTCGAGGCTCCGTATCGCTCTAAAAAAATTATTTTCGTTAAAAAAAGCGGTTTTTTGCTTCAAAAGGTGCGTTAGGTCATCTGAAAAAATCTGAAAAAAATTGAGATAATATTTTTTAATGCGATAAAAAACTGAAAAAATTTTCGTTGACTTCATCGGCTCATACCGCCATATCTTGATTTTTGAAATTTTCAATAATTTTTTCTGAAGGCCTGAAGCACTCAAAAAATCTGAAAAAATTCAAGGTTGTTTGGATTGTTGAAAAGTATTTTTGATCGAAAATGGACGTTTATACCGGAAGTGGGGGGTAGGAGGGGGGAGGGGGTCTAAAATTTTGTTTTTGGGACCTTTTTACCATGTACCATAACATACCACAAGCGCGTCAAGATCGGTGACATACGTGCGCACGGTTTTGTAAAAAAGTATTATTTTGACCCACATAGATATTTGAATCGGCTTAAAATTAAAAATTGGCGACGATATCTTTGAGGAATTTATTTGG